CTTTTTAACCGTTTTATCAAAGATAATTCCGGAAACAGGCTGGGGTAAAAACATAAAAGACATCAGATGCAGGCCTGAAGGGAGATATCAAAGAAACAAAAATAAATAAGGGAAGTGCAACGGGATATAACTTCCCATCTGAAAACATGGTTCACCAGTGGAAATCGAACTTCTATCGGTTCTTTGCCCATTGGGCGTTTTAGACCTGAAACCAATTTCAAACGGCAATTAACTTACAGACGTTATTTTTAGCAAGTGCAGTGGATCAACCTATCAAATTCCTGTTTTTTCAAATGCATTTTTCGGTTTGTTGGTTTTTTCTTCTTTAGTGGTTTAGCTAAATATATCCATTAGAGGAATTTAAACTGCGCTTACGGCAATCGACCTTTTTCTTCTCTACTTCACCTTAATTTGTGATAAATCCGTACATGCTCTGTAAATAATGGCTAGTCTACTGAAAGCTTTAGAAAATTCGCGAAAAGAAAAGATACCAAAAAATACACCCTTTATTTGTTAACCATACTAACAAAAGTCGAAGGGTGGCTAGAATTTTCTTGAATACTTGTCGTGAGGCGTAAAAAGGGACACAATATATGGTATTCTTCTATATCGTGATCCTTAATTACTATACGCCTTCCAATCCTTTGTTGCCTTTGTCAGTGATTAATGACTTGTTTTCTTACTTATTTTTTATCTTTAAGGGCTCCACTGTCATCAAAGCAACTGAAAACAGTAAAGACTGGTATTTTGAGAAAAAGACATTAGAAATGAAATTCGCCCTAATTTTTCCCGTCCTATTTATTGCTGTTGTGCAAAGCATTTCTGCACGAAAAGGAACGACTCGTAGAAGGTGAGAAATTTTTGCCTGATTAGTAGCGAGATGAACAGTTTACTCAACAAATTGTCATTCTCATTTGTGCGAGTTGGCAGTGTATTGATCAGTTGTGTCGTGATAGCAATGTTCCGATTGCTTATTTGGTGCAAAAGGTATAGTCTGAGGTAGCGACCTATGACATCAGTCTCTAATTTTTAATCCTTTTTTAGGTCAGGCGAGCAAATTTGACTATTTTCCCATGCACAAAAAAGGCAAATCAGTGAAGAATTTTTGTTTAAAAAAAAAGTCTTTGTAAGTGGTGACTAGAATGTGAGCAGTCTTGTGTTTTTTCGAAAGCACGCGTGAGGAGCGAGCGGCGAAGCCGCGAGGAACGAGGGCAGTTTCGCTCGCCGTGCGTGGCTCTGAGGAAAGAAGGACGACCACTCGTAGTCTATGTCGTGACATTTGCTCGTCTGATGTGGCCATGCCTAAGGGCTTTAAAAAAAATTCTTGAAAAATATAACCTCGTAAAACGAGCTGTTGAGGAGCATTAACGTAAATGGCTTATATTTTAACCAGAGAACGTACAGAAAAACAACCCAGATATAGGGGAGAAATGTAAAGGGCATTGCACAGCTGAATCACTGTTCTTGCTAGTTGAGTAGAAATAACATTTATGCGGTTCAGATATGGTCATCCGAGAGTTTCCCTCGAAGAAAAAATATTGCAAGCCACTCTAAAAATTGTTTTGAAGGGGCTTGCAATTCTTCCCAACTGATTTTTGTCTCTCTTTGTGGCTTATCCCCATAGCTAAGGCGGCCAGCAAGTTTATACGTTCATATCACCTTGGAAACTCCTTTACCCTACCTTCGTGACATAATGGAAATCGGCGTTTTATAAGAGTTGGTAACCAAACCTAACAAAAACTTTTATACAGAGCAAATTAAAAAAGCACATTTCAATGGGCCATTTTCGAGTTGCCTACAGCCTCTTTTTCAAAGCGAGGCTAAGTGCGAAGCTATTGAAATGAAAATGACTTTTATTCTCATACAAATAAAACTCATCTTTACAAGTCTCGTTTTGAAAGTGAGACTTTTTGGAACTCGGAAATGGCCTATTAGTAAGAATCCCATTCACCAGTACAATATAATGTCGTGCAACGGCGAGATTTAGTGCAGGTTATTACCCTATAATGGAATAGACAGGGAAACGCCTTGTCTATCCCTTGAGACATGTGAGTTTCACCAAAGTTATTTTTAAACCAAATTAATGTCTTGAATTAACTAAAATTAATCGGAAGTTGGTTACCGCAGAGGCCCGCAAACTTTTACTCAGTGTTATCAAGAGAGAATTCAACAGTCACCATTCCAATATTCTGCATTGTTTGCCTTGACACAGTCGCGTGTAAACTTGGTGACGTTTCAAACAATCGACTAAAATGTGCGGACGTCTTAGGAATCAGACTTACAACCTCTTAAAATAACTTTATTTACTATATACATACTGAGAAATACTCACCAAAAAGCTATGTCGTAAATTTTCGTACGCAAATTAGTTCTAGCCAATCAGAGGAGCGAACGATGGTTTTCACACGTGAAAAAAATGATACGTCCAATCAGAATCGCGAACGATGTTTTTTCACGTGTGAGAAAAATGATACGTCCAGTCAGAAGCCACAGAGCTGTATGAGTTTCGCGCCAAAATTCCCGCCTTTTCTTGCAGCTTGCAGCGCCGCTTCGCACACAATCAACGAGAAAAGTTTTACTCAAAGAGTTTTTCTCCCTAAAAAAGTGAAAAACATTTCGGAAATGGAGTGGAATAGTTTCGTTTGTTTCACTGTCGATAAAGAAAACGGTAGAGAGCCGGCGAAACAACAGCGGAAAGCAGGAGGAAAGGGAAAACCGGAACGAGACGTAAGCTTTTGTTGTGCTTTTTGTCTGAGCTACTTTGCCTTTCATTTAAGCTTAAGCTTATATTGAAACCGGCCATTTTACTTAAATTCACTCATTTTCAATTGTGCATTGAGAACGAACAGTTAAGATTACTTATAGTTCTTGGATTACCTCATATCCTCACCGTCATTTATGTTTTTAACAAACGTTTTTACTAAAAAGGTGATACTTCGTTTTCGTTGTGATTTTGCGGTAAGTGTGTGGCGGCAAATTTTAGCATTTTTGAAAGATTTAAAAGAAAAATACCGCCAAAATGATGAATGTCTCAGTATGTATATAATAAACAAAATACCACATGGAAAGTGCTTTGTACGGTATTTACGCACTCGTTGTTTTTGTATCAGAAATCTTACTCGTTCGCTGCGCTCACTCGTTCGATTTCTGATAAGTCAACAACTCGTGCGTAAATACCGTACGCCAGCACTTTCCATGAAGTATTCTCTATGAAATTCACATAACCCTGCTAACGCCCTAAGATTCCCTTTATCTGCCATCATCCCCTCTTGGCTTAACAAATTAAGGTTTTGAAAAGGTTTTGTATGCATGGTGTCACGAGGCCTTGCCAACCATTTAAATTTCTTAAGAAAGGATCGGGCGCGGTGTTGCCGAGAGAAACATGAAGAGATTAAAAGAATTAATGGCAAGAACTGTTCTTCCCGAACAAATCTTTTTATTTTCTTTGGCTGTATCAGTCACTACTTGTGACATAACCGGAAATCGACAAATTTTATCGTCTTTTATATGCTCTATGAAAACAGAGAATGTGCTTTTCTCTTAATCTTTGCTCGGACGAGGCTGGGAGCTTATTAACTTTCCCTGCCTACAGGCTGGCCGGTTATTTGAGGTGGGTCCCTATTCCAGGTTGGGCGCTTAATCGAATAAATACGGTATTTGCTCGATTACCTCACTTCCTAATAGGTTTATCTCCCTAAATGACACTATTAAGTTGTGAAGTGCAACCTATATTTAATAAGGATTTGGTGAATTTTATCTTCTTTTAGCAGAAACAGTGGAGGATTGCCTCTTAACGGAGCTAGACAGAAGGTATGTACTTTTTTTATTTTTACTCGCAGGACTGATGATTAATCTTTTTCTTTGAGTTTGTATCCCTTCCTACTTCTGGTTTTAAATTCTTGAAAAGCGAGACATAACCGATTATCTTATACCAAAAAAACACAACACAACAAAAAGACAGGAAACAACAGGAGCCTGCAATTTGGTTCTTAAGGTACTGATACGATCAAATCATTGACTGGTAGTTACGTACATAAAGTACGTGGTGTCCAAATTATAGCTTCATACGACGATGGAAAGTGTGATTTTTTCGTCCTCAAATGCCGTTTATTTTCGCCGCCATTAAACGCCACGTTCCTGCGGCCTGGTTACCAAGAATAGGCGGCAAAAACTTAGTGACGTCATTTGACTACTTTGTACCTTGCTCAAACTATGTTGAAAGAGATACCATGGTTCGTAAGATTTGTCTCAAACATGGCAAAAAAGTACCATAACCTTCGGTTGCAAAATATTAGTAAGTATTACTAAAAACTGCTAATTAAAAATACTCTGTTAACATTAAGAATACAGAAATACTGCCCACACCATTCATTCCGTATTCCTTTTCATTCGGCCCACCCCATGACTTTAACAACAGCAACAACAACAACAACAACAACTTCATTTCAGTATTCCCTCGTGAGTACATGGCATTGCCTACATTAATTATGTTATAAATCTTAAATCAAAATAAAGGCTATAATTAAAGAACAAGTTTTTGGCCCATAAAGTCAGGGGCCACGCATTGACACGGTTTGTCTATTTTCCCTTCCGGGGTGGGGTTCAAAATGGAACAAACCGTCAAAAATCCGCGTTCAAATAATCTCCCCATCTCCTAGAAAGGTGAGAGACTTGCCAGCTTTATAGGAACTACATATATATTTATTCATTTATTGATTGATTGATTTAAAAACTCTGAAAGCCTCTGTGTTAAAATATTCAAATAGAGGTTCTAGAAGACATATATTACTGAGAATTCCTTGGAATCAGATAAAAGGGGACCGCGGCCCCCTCGCCCTCTCTAAGGCCCCCAATGGAGTCAAACTTGTGTGTACATCCGATTTTCTTGTCTGAAAAAGCAGCAATACAAACGCCTACGGCTTAAACCCAAACCTCTTACGCGGTAACCACTCCATTTGACCCCATGCATCAATTTGAGATAATCAGATATATTGGAAGCTTCTCTTCTTTTTTATCAGGCTTATCCAGTTTTACTCAGTATTGTTAGAGAGGGAGGATTCAGAGGGCTAAAGGAATGCAAGAAACAATTCAAAAACGAGATTTGGAACTGTTCTCTGGATCAGAGTAAACAGGACGTATTTTCACATCTACCCATATTTGTTAAAACAACGCTTCCATATGGTAAGGTTATGGCAGGTTAGAGCCAATAAAATGAGCTGATTTTTTTTTTTTAGCGAAGCAACGTGTATAGATCGAGTTTCTTTAATTTCCTCATTCGGGATTGTCTTTCTACAGGATAACTTGTGTGGTTTCTCTTAATAGTCTTTCACATCAAAAGCTTCATTATTTGTTGACTAACACAACCAAACTCCTTTATGATTGCTTGTAATGGCCTCTTTTGACTGGTAATTGCCGTTTCACGGACCAAGTGACTTAGCTCTTATTAAAGATATGATAAACTTCTCTTATGTAACCCCCCCAATCCTAACAAGCGTGGAAAGATGGCGGGTAGAACAACGTCTATTGGTACCATTTTCTGTTGCAGCCACTCGTGAGACAGCTCTTTTACATGCCATAAGCAACGCTGCCATCACACACGAGGTCACGCTTCAGTGCAGACAAAACAAAATACCCGGATGTCATTGCGTTGAAAAGAACAAACAAAACGGTGGTGATGGAGAATGGGAGTGGGGAGGATGTGGGGATAACATTTGGTTCGGTGAGAACACAACGAAAAGCTTTATCGATGTTTTGGAACCCCAGGAAGAAAGCGTCCGTAGGGCAGTTAATCTCCACAACAATGAAATAGGAAGACGGGTAAATATCTTGCCATCTCACTTTTTACAGCCAAGAGCAGTATATTAATAGTTAAGAGAGCTTAGTTTAAACTATGAAGCACTCACATTAATTTTATAAGAAATTGCATGCTGTATAAATGAACAGATTTATAGGGGATAAAAAATCATTTTAATTGGTGAACTGAATAATTGAATGAACGACCGATTAATTGATTGGTTGATTGATTGATTGATTGATTGATTGATTGACTGATTGACTGGCTGACTGACGGGCTAGCTGGAGGGCCGGCCGGCCGGAGGGGCCGGATGTCTTATGGCCGGCCTGCATGGCTGGTTCGACTGGTACAGGAAGACTTGAAACAAAAAAAAAACTTAATAATATTCTAGGGATGCATGGCCTCTCATGTTTTCGCAGTAGCTGTGTTTTTCTTGCTCTTTCTAACTCTGGGGACAAATAATGGGGACGTCTAACAAAATGAAAATAATTACTTTCTTAAGATAAAAATGGTTTTTGCTTTAAACTAAACAGGTGGTAAGATTAAGCTTGAAAAAAGAATGCAAGTGCCACGGCGTCACAGGCAGCTGTGAGTATAAAACTTGCTGGAGATCCCTGGCACCTTTCGATGAAGTTGGTCAACAATTAAAGCTCAAATATCGACACGCTGTGAGAGTGTCTCTCGTGAAAGGTATCTTGAAAGAGGTGAAAACGAAGAAAATAGCAGCAAGAAGAGACAAAAAGCTTGTTTACCTTGACAATTCCCCAGACTTCTGCGTGCGAAACGTTACCGCCGGATCCCTAGGAGTGCTGGGAAGGACCTGCAGCAGCGAAGACGGTGGCGTGGACAAGTGCGTCTCTTTGTGTGACTCTTGTAGATTGAGATCTCGGACAGTGGAACACAGCAAGCAGGTCCCTTGCAGATGTAAGTTTGTTTGGTGTTGCAGCATACAGTGCAAAGAGTGCACAAAGAGGTATTCTATTACAACGTGTACGAGACGGTGAAAAGCGCCTTTCCACACACATCGTTGCCAGCTTTTTCACTACCCTGCTGCAGGCACTATCCGTTAAAGTGGTTGGAAACGATACGTAGCTCAGGAAGCAGCTCGCCCATCAATAGAAAGGTCCATGCGTAAGGATTACAGATTAGGAGGTCCAATATACCATGCGGTAACGTTGCGACCATTGCTGTGGAAATACTCTTTGCTTTTACTTCCTTATTTGTGACCAGTTATATCTAGCTGGATTTTTGAAAACTTTACTACCAAAATAGACCTCTTCCGTCAAGCAGGTATTTTATTGTTATTATCCAAAGTATACAAGTATAAAACTAAGAGTGCAGCCATCTTACTTAATTTTTCCCCTTCCCTTTCTTCCTTTATCTTCGCTCTCTCTATTTCTTTTCTTCTTTTCACCCGCCTAGTGTATTTTTGTGTTTCCGGATGCAAGAAATGTCCCTTTTTGGCCCTTTTCAGTTAAATGGTTGCAGGTTTTGGTAGGTACGCTTTCAAAATCTGGCTAGATATACATATATGGCACTTTGTTTATTGAAAGGAAGATTCAGGTGAGGCCTTCAAGTCATTGCACCTCGCCATTGTAAATTCACTTCATACAAGTTGTATTTGTCATTGTTAGGTATCGTAGATTATAGAGTATGTCACACTTTGGATTACCTTGTTATAACATTGAAGTCTATAAGCCCTTACCATTAGCCTGGGCGGGGTGGGGGTCTCTCTATGATGGCCTATACGGGAACGCTTCGCCCGAAAGGGGTAGCTTTTTTCTCTGTCCAGCCGGATCAGTTCATTCCTAAATAGTATGCACGGCAGAGACACAGTAGAACCCCGATAACTCGAGCTCCCCGCTAACTCGAACTAACATCAATTTCGCTTGGATTTCACCACACCCTTCAGTAATTTTTACTCGGTTATCTCGAACTTGGATAACTCGAATTCCCCGCTAACTCGAACAAAATTTTCTTTCCCTTGATCAAAATGTCACTGAAATTTACCCCGATAACTCGAATTCTGGTTCTTGTAACTCCACTTGTTGTATAATCGGTAAAACCACTAAAACTAACTCTACAGCTGTATTTGATTTTGATTGGGGCAACGAGCAGATCACGTTTTATCATAAAACGCTTAATCATAGTACCGTTTCTGATGAAATAAGTTAAATTGCACTGTACTATCACACCGAAGTTCTGAAAAATCAGTAACTATTATATTCATTGCTAAGATGACAAAAATTGACATTCAATCGACCCCGGTAACTCAAACCCCCGCTAACTCGAACTGTTTTTCGTTTCCCTTCAGAATTTGATTTAACGGGGTTCTACTTTAAGTTTTAAACGCAAATTTATCTTTAGCGAAAACTTTATACCAGTAGTGGCCTGTCACGACAGTCACGGGTGTGACTTTTGGAAAGCGCCCTTAGATGTCAGCTATTTCGAGAAAGGTTGCCGAAAAAAAGTGTGCACACGACAATCCCGATAGGTAATATGGGACATGATCAATACACTGTTCCTGACACTGTAGCTGTCGAACCTACTTTTGTTGCCTTACTTTAACACTCGCGTACATACGTTAATGTCCTCTCTTGCCATTCTTTCAGATTTCTTTGAAGAACAGTAAACTCAAAACCACCCACAATACCTTTCGGGATTGGCGCGTGCACTTTTTCCGACAACCTTTCTCACCGTCTTTCTCGAAGTAGCTGTATGTATCTTGAGAAAAGTCTGTGACCAGCAGTCAAGTCTAATTCTGAAAAAGTTGGAAAACGGCACCATGAAATGGGGTAAATGCTCTTTCGTCACCGTTGGTCTCAGATTAAAGTGTTGATGCATGTTGCACGTTTTGCGGAAATTGTATGAAAGCAGAAAGATTCGCATTTTGCCGTCACACTAAAACGCCGCCCTAAAAAGTTTGGTTTCGATGGGCGGAAGCGCCTATTTTGCTTTTATAAGTCCCAACTGGAAGAAAAAAGTGATGCATGTGCAAATTCATCTAGATTAGTGAGTGAGGTGAGGTCTTTGTTTAGTAGGACGAAATGATACTGAAATGAGCAACAAAATCATACACTTTTATCCCTGTGAGATTTGGACGTGTATAAATTAATTAACTCAGCCAACTACTTCTTTTGTCTATTAAGATGTCTTCTTTTGTAAAGAACCTTTGTCTTGTCGCTTAATTATGTCTACATCGAAATTAAGATATTTTATATTCATGTTAAAAAAAATAAAATTCTATTAAATGAAATGCACTTTATTTGAGAGTCACTGTATTTAGCACGAAAGCACTAATTTGGGACACTATTTTTACGTCTCCTACCGGAGACGGGACCGCCATTTTACGTGGCCTTCCGAGCCAACGAAGGTCCAGCCATTTGCAGGGCAAAGGCCAGTACGTCAGTTTGTTTAGTCTCCTCAGTGTGTCGCTAATCCATGCATTTGGTCGTTCTTTTTTTCTACTCCTTTATCGGGGCTGCCCTGCCGCTACCACAGCTGTTGAATTCAGATCCTTCTAGGCCACCAAATCCACAGGATGTGCCTAATAGGCGGTTTTTCATAACCACCTGCAACCTCTGCTTCATTTCCTCGGTAAATCCGCGAGATTCTGCACCATACAAGAGCTCGGCTTTCACAGTCACTTTGACCCAAAGACTCTCAACTGGCCCAAGTTTTCACTGACGTGGACCGCTATGCGCGTTACCTTCCCAATGCGTTTCTAGATTTATCCTCTTCAGTTCCCTCCTCCGTTCTTAACGGGTATTCCATAGCGCTACAACAGCTCTCTGATGACCCTTTTCTTAAGTCTCCACAACTGATGTGTAAGGAGGACTGCAGCTTGATACTCTGTTCATTCTCACTATCTGTTCCCACGTACATCTCGGATCAGGTCAAAAATACGCCTGTTTCCCTCTCATCCTCTTGTCCAGTGCTGTTTTACTGCGCTCCAAAACTCACTCTACATTATACTTTAACTTAATTAGAAACTATGCGATAGAAGCTAGAACTTTTCTTGGGATAGATTCCCAGCATGTGGGTACGATAATCTTAGGCGACCACCTCCCGTGACTAACTATATTACAGTTAAACACCTTTAATACGGACACTGAGGGGGCGATAGAAAGTGTCCATATATATTAACGAGGTGTCACCGTATTAAGCGGGTTAAATTTAGCTTTCTTTCCCCAGGAACAAAGCAATTTGTGCCGTAATAATGAGGTGTCCATATTACTAGTAACTGGGTGTCCGCAAAGCAGGGTTTGACTGTAATTATATTCGCGTTGTGGGTGATCGCTTACTGGAGGTTCGACTGTATGGCATTTAAGAACCCAGTTGCTGCGACCACCGTCCTTTAGCTGCCACAAAATCCCGGTCGCGCGCATAAAACCTTGCTTTCCCAGTTTACAGGTGCTGCACTAGAAACAACAACAACAAAAAAAGAGCGTTGTATGAAGAGAAAAAGAACGAATGCGTGCGTGTACTGAGTCCACTGAAAATCTCCGAAATACCTTCGTTGTGTGGGGATTTTTATCGACTTTTACATCAAGGGAAGCCTGCTGGGCTCTTGCAAATCGGTGCTTCGTAATCTTGTTCGAACCTCCAGAGGATATACAATGCAACAAACGTAAATGGAATTGTTTTCCTAAATTGGTTCAAGAACTAGACGAAAGCAAAAGCTTAAAAGTCCTTAAAGACCTTCAGACCATGATAAGTGGATATGAGGGCTTAAATCAGCGTGCTGTTTGACCAACTCGCGTTTTGCGTTTGTTTATTGATAATGGACCACACGTACATTTCCCCACATTATATTACGAAAATACTCCAAAAAACATATTAACTGATTTCAGATGTGTATGGGTGTAACTGCGAGAGACGAAAAAAGGTAGGATCCGATCGATCCTATTTTAATAGTATGCATTATAGGAATATATTCTCTGGATTATTCCGGAATAGTCTTAATTCTGAATGTAAAAACAAACAAACAACATGAAAAAATATTGTCTCCAGAATAACGACTCAAAACGTTTTTTTGTTGTTGTTACATCACAAAAGAGCTGTCTCTAAATAATGACAGTTTTGCACCAACAATCGAAATTCACCTATTGCCAGAGAAATCATATTGCAACTGGAGGAATTAACAAAGAAGATTCGGCGGAAGATGAAGAGGTTAATCTAGAAGGTATTTTGGGTTGTATTTTAGTAAAAATAATCGTCAAACAAAATTAATCTTCTCTTGCTTCTAATCACCGTAAAATTCCGAAAATAAGCCCCTCCATGTATAAGCCCCTCCAAATATAAGCTCCTCAAACCCTTAACTCAAAAAACCCTCCGTTAAATGGCCCCTCCGAATAATATAAGCCCCCAGGGGCTTGTACTTGAAAACAGTGCCCTCAAATACAAAGAAAAAACGGTAAATTTCCTTCCAACTATAAGCTAGCCTGACCCGATTTTTGAAACGCAAACCTCCCTCCGAATATAAGCCCCTCCAAAAAATAAGTCCCTTAAAAAGGGCCTTTGAAAAATATAAGCCTCGGGACTTATTTTCGTAATTTTACGGTATGCCGATGAACGTAAGAATATTTTTCTCATGCAATCAAAGAAATGAGCCAAACTTCTTCCCTGCTCCAACCTTTCTCTCTTTCATGATTTATGTCCGGAGCTTGCTATACTAAGTGTCGATCTCTTGTTTTCTCGTCCACTATTATCAGCGGCATTTGTAGCCACCACATCTTCTTGCCAAGGAGAAAAAGGGTGATTTAATTCCTTCCGCGTTTTTCTTCTTCAGAAGAGAGATGAGGCCATCCACGTAGCCTGATCGTATTTATATTAATTATTACTGCTTTCGCTGAAAGTGACTTGGTATGCTGTGGTATGACATGAGTAAAACGACGTCAGGAATTGGAACAGCAGCAGGTCAATTGGACGGATATACTAGATTTATCTATCTAATCCTATTCCACAATTAGTCTCCTCACCAGACGTTTTAGGTGCGGAGAGGAGAGGTTGCGTGACTACATAAAAAAGAAAGAGACATATATCTTTTTGGTTTCCACAACACGTCACCAAAATTCAAAATAGAGAATTATCGATCATCCTACGTTTTTACTTTCATGAAATATCAGAGCTGATAGCAACTTACAGTTTTTCAAATTTTCACTTTGAAAGGGTTCTCCATTTTGTTACAGAGTCTGTCTAGTACGCTTGACACGGCATTTACGAGTTGAGTATGCATCACACGGCATTTATTGACGTGGCGGCCTAGAGCTGTCATGCAAGTTAGAAAAAGTGACTCATTTCGTAGTATTTGCTATGTAAACGGTTCTTGCATTGGGCAAATGAATTACTTTTATGTTAATGAGTTCCTCGACGGATGAATTCACACTTTCATAGCCGCAAAACTCGGTAACAGATGTTTCTGTAGGTTTCCAACCGTCATGTTGGTGGCGCTCAGATGGACACCAACATGTCGTCGCCATGCAAAGCTCCATAAATTTAGGTAAAACTTTTCTCTGAACATCTCACATATAAAAAATTGCACCGAACTGAATCTTGGCGATGGTCTTTGCATTATCACCTTTCTTTAGTCCTATATAGATTCTGGACTTTTCTAAAATTTAATGGACGGTTTTGAATTTAATTTTCCATGGCGTTACAGTGAAAGCAAGCAATCACTAGAGTATGACTATCGATCAAATGCACCCTCGATTCTTAGGCGTTTTGCTGGCTACCCTTGCAATAGGACCTTTTCTTGGGGACGTGTTGTCTTATTTTTCATGGGCCTATTACGGGAAAGCGATTGATGCAAAACCGCGGTAAATGGCGCCCATAACTGAGGGGGGCGTAAGGGGGGTACGAATACCGCAATACCGCACGTGCTAGCGCGAGAATACCGCAATACCGCATCAAAATTTAGCCAAATACCGAAACCGCAGTTACAAATGGCAAAAAGTTGACGTTGTCAATACTACAAATCCTCGTTTCAAATAGAAATAATACCTTTATGTCAGAGTTTCCAAATCAAGGTGCGTCGATGTCAAGTGTACGATAAACATAATATCATCGCACTCGTTTAGCTTTGTTTATTACATGTATACGTTTACTAAATGATACAAAAGGAGTTTTCTAGTATCACTTTATATATTACTGACCTGGATCATAAACGGATGGAAAACAGTTGACTCTTATAAGGTTGTTTCAGATTCACAATTAACTCGGTTCTGTGTTGAGGGTTTCAAAACGACGACCCGGCTGCCTTTTGGATTCGAAGGGCACACAGTACACACTAGCCTGCGTAGCATGGTGGTTTTGGTTAGGCGCGCTAAATAATAAGTCCAAATAAGGCGGGCGTGGGCGAGGAGATTGGGGCGGGAGCTGCTTCGCCGCTCACAGTGGTGCTGCCGACAAAACCATGTAAAACTGCCATGCCCGGGGTGGGTACTTGGGTTAATATTTGGTTGGTATGTGCCGCTGGCCTCTCAGAGCCCCTACCCCATTACAGTCTATTCTGTGGCCAATTATAGACCCCATCTTAGTCATTTGAACAAATATTTAATTTTCTCGATCCCAACTTCGTCACTTTCTATTTTTATGAATTGACCTTGTTTTAGATTGAATGAACAACACTTTACTTTTCATCTTCAATACAAACATTCTGGTACCTTTGCTAACCGTAAATATGAAGAACTGTCAGACCCCAAAAAAGCAGAAAATGTGCGACCCCATTCTAAAAAAACTCTCTGAAAATGCGACCCCATTATAGTCAATCCAGTCGTGAAAATGCGACCCCATCCAGCGGCACATCTTCATTAGCCTCTTATCAGGAAGTCCCCCCCTCACCACCACCACCCCTGGGCTACAATGCTACGTAGGGTAAGCACACACGGATACTAGTACATTCTATATTCCTGCATGCACAACGAGAAGGACAAGTAGTAATTTATAGACCACACCATCTTTATAGATTATCTTTCGACACTACGCAATTTATAACGATCTCACTGACCTCACTATTTGCTGGAATATCTGACTGATCACTTAGTTGACCCTCTGGATCGCTCTCTATTGTTTGGCGACTGGCACGAAAGTGGTGGTAACATTGGTGTAAAGGAGGTTAACCAAGCTGACTACGCGATATGTTTACGTATCATTGGATGAAAAAGTTAATGTCGTTAATGATATCAAGTATTAACTGAAATTAGAAGCCATACGATTTGTCTGCATTGTTTGCGCAATACAATCCCCGACTGTGCACACAGGTCACGCAGGCTAGCCAGGGAGACCTTTTAGGATTTGTATCCTCTTGTCATGAAAAAGAAGCAGATACCGCGACACAACGATTTTTTCACCGACTACCGCGGCGTAAAATTTAAACTTACCGCAAACCGCTTGGACTCTGAAAACCGCAATACCGTACTTTGAAATAAAAATTACCGCAACACCGCACCAAAAATGACCCAATACCGCAATACCGCAAACCCTTACGCCCCCCTCATAACTCTTCGTAATTACCACCCTTGCGATAGGGATTTGGGGACATGAAGTATCTCGATGTGTCTAAAATGTCGGGAGTGGAAGCTGGATAATTGGATCACTATTATTCGTTACTCATTTTAAATTTTTTCCGCGATATTCATTTTACATCTTTTTTTTTGTTTTTATATCAGTTTTCCTTTTCAGATATTCCCGTTCTGTGAATTATGTAACTAAAGGAGTTAAAACTGTGACACTAAGTAATTTTTGACTCCGTAAAAAAGGAAGAGAATCGTACTATGCAAAAACGAGGTAAAAACCATGAGATTAAACAATATATGGAATTTATGTTAAGCGAAATTTTCTATAATTCTATGCTTTGGTTAGTAAAAAATTATATTCTGTATATATTCAACCTTCTCTTTAGCAAGTACCTTTCTATTTTTTCTATACGTGTGGTCAAAATATTTTGTTATCCTTTTCAGCAATAGACCGTCTAGTAGGCAATAACCAGAACGTAATGGACCTAACAGCAGCGGCTTAATAACCTTAAGTACTAAAAACAGTAACTAACAAATAAACTCTAACTATAAATAGCGTGTTGTCGCATCTTTCATTGGTTTAATGGGAAAGTGATTGATGCGGAACAGCAGTCGATAGCGTCCATCACTCTTCGTGCTGACCACCACTGCAGTAGGGATTTGGGGACATGTTGTATCCTTCATGGGTTTATAATGTCAGACATAATGGGGAAGCAGTTGTTCTTCAGCCGCAGTCATTTGCGTCCGTATGCCGTCAAGTATGGCCGGGCGAAGTGAATGAAAAAAGAATAGAAAGAAAATGAATAGATAAATCAATGATAAACAAATCTTTCGTCTCGATATTAAAAGTGGACTCGATTTGCCCAAAGACACACATTTATTATTATTATTTAAGCTTTACTATGGCATTAACATTCGAAATTTACGAACTAACCGCATGTATAGAATGAGTAAGAAATCTGACCTAACAAATTACATTAGTATCTGCGAAATTAACGCGCCTAATATCACTGTCTAAGTAAATGATTAAACTGCAAGAAAGTACTGGTGTTTGGCATTGAGTAGGCCTTTCTATTTTGCTATCGGATGTTAATTATCCCAGTACCAGACGCCATAATCTGACAAGTTTAGTTTTTGCGACGTCATTACTTCTTTACTCTATTCCTGGTAGGGATACCTCGCCTAAGTTTAATTGGATCATTAATAAGCATCACTAACTAAAACGGCAAGTGATCGGTGGACCAGGTGCCAGAGATTTGATGGCGTTTAGCGGACAGTCCTTAAACCTCCTACATTTCACGAATCATACAGTCAAGCTGTTTAGTGGCACATGATGACTATTACCTGCTTATAGAAATTACCCTAATGACTTTTAGTAAAAGTCAATTGACATCATCATGATTAGGTTAAACAAAAAAAACTAGACATGGCATTGTATAATTAGCTAGCAGTTTAAGGTGTCCCTTTGGCTGTTCTTAATGCCCGACTGTACGTTTGGAATGTGGGTGGGTATATCTTTGAGTAGAAAACATTCCTTTTTATCATGAATAAAAAGGCACACGTTGTGTGTGTACGCATGTCAAAAGTAATACTGAAAACTCTACTACCGTAACGGCAAATTACGCACGGTTATTTGCAAACGAATTATGGCCTATTAAGAGTATTGAAACTAAGATGGGAGTAAATTTGGATAACGCCAGAACGTGCTCTTATACTTGCAATTTACACTACTAACAGGTTTTAATAAGGCACTAAATTCATGTTGGTGATAGTTCAGGACAAAGTACAACGCGGATTGTTAAATGTCGTGCAAAGTCGTTCAAATTTGATTCATTTGGTGCACGAAGTGGAGACATAAAATGAACCGCGGAAGGAAAATTTCTTCCGGGAAAGCCGGATTATTTTAAGGAAGTCGTGCTCCTGAGTTGATGCACTTTTTAGGACGCGATGGACGGTCTAGGTCAATAAGAACAACACATACTGTTATCAAGGGCTGGGCATGATTAGTAACCTCTTTAAACTATCTTCAACAGCTAAAGAGGCATCGTGATCTCCTATTATAGGGATAATACCGGCCATCGACAATGTAAAAGCACCTTACTTCATGAGCCTTTGCATCATCAACTCGGATTTTAGGAAGGAGACTGAACCAAAAATAGATCGATCGAGAGAGACTGGGGAAAAATGCGTTGAAAGCTTTGATTGATATTTTGTAATTTCAGTCATTTCAAGACTGTGCTATGATGCAAACAACATTATTAACTCTAGTGAGATATCGTAAAAATAACTGCGAAAAACTGGACATTGGAGGACAGAATACGGCTGTTAAGTCAAACCACTTCAAGTTATTAGTCAAAAGGTAAGCCGGCTTGTTGCCCTCTATTTAAAAAGCTTGTCGCACATAGTAGTACACCACTAGTTTTCTGCCGCTACAAAAAACTTACTAAGTCGTCTGATTTCGCTGTTTAATTTTCTTCGATTTATTTCGTTACGAAAAGAAAGAGTTTTTTTGGTTAAAAAGAGTATCCGCAGCGAAAAGCAGATAGAAAACCTAGACTGGAAAGCACTTGAATTGCAACGAAAATTTTGCAAGCAGATGCAGCTTGTCCATCAACATTGGTTTTTACGCTTAGCTCACGCGTTTCGCAGATTTTTGATCGAATTAAAGCTTTTTTTCGAAACTATGCTAATACTTCCGATTCAAGGCGTCTTAAGGTTTATATAATAAACAAGAACAACAAGCTTAAAAATTCTATTTAAATAACTAAGTGTTCAGTGAAGGACACTCAAATGAAACATTCAGCATAACAAATAGTGTGAGTAACATTGATATCTATTTTTTAGAAGCATTTGGAATTTAGAGATAAGCAGAGAGCCTTAAGTCTTGTAAGCAGAGAGGGCTAAAAAAAAGTGAAAAAAATGATAATCTTGTTTGCTGTTATTTACTCAGTGGAAGCAAAATGTGAGCTTCATTTTGACCTCATAGTAATTCAAACAAAAACGTGCTTATTACGCAGTTATCTCAACAAACTACGGGCTACGACGGGGCAAAGTAGTATTAATTCCGAATTTTCTGGTTTTAGTGGAATGTTAAAACGGGGTCGAATGCTTGCTCGTTCGATCATTTTCTCCGGCAACGGAAACCCACCGACCCAGTGTGCAGGTGAAACAAGGTTAAATGGCCGACATCTCAATATGAGACTAAATAAACGTTCTGATGGTAGCAAGGTTCAAGTCCTGAAGATTGTCGAAGTTATTTCTTCGATATCAAAATATTTTTTCACATAATGTATAATAGCGTCTGATTATTTTTTCAGAAGATAATTACTAACACACGAAGGGCAAGACTATCGCTATGGTGTCTTGATCGCCGGATCATTCTAGAATTTTCTAGAAAATCCAATTAGGATTTAAAGCTGGATGATTTGCAGTATTTTTCTCTTAGTAGGGTCTTCCAAGACGAAAACTCTGTGAGGCTGCATGCTATGTGGCCGGACAGACTAGAGGTCTATTAAATCTCCTCCTCTTCCCGTAGCTTGCATTTCCGGCTCCCGAGGTTCTTTTTTCTTGGCTTCTTCGGTTTTTGCCCTTTTTTCGATTGTGAAATAATCATTTGGGGATGCGTAATTTCCACCTATTTCTCCCACTTCCCACCCTTTTAGAACTCCCACCTCCTGTCTTGTGCTTTCCCATCCTTACTCACATACCCCATCACCTATTATATTCTCAAGGATTCCCAACGTCAATTCTCATGCACTTTTCTCAGAGCTCCGGTGAGAAAAAGGCGACACGAGTGTCGCCTTTTCTCGCGTGGGGTGATGATTTTCACGCGCGCTCACGTTTCGCTCGCTGTACTATCCCTGAGGAAAAATGGGGACTACTCGTAGTCTAGTGAAGTCAGTGCTGTAGTAGACCTTTTTCTAAATCACTGAGTGAGCTCTAAACCGGAGACTGCTAGCCGGCTAGTAACTACGAAGGCGATTTACTTTGTTATTCTTGCCCAAAATGATACCTGAATGCTGTTGTTTTATTTTTCTTCCGCCAGTATTGTAGGAATAATGCAACACCCAGCAAACTCGAACTTTCTTGAATGCGACACGCGTTCTCATAATAGAAATCCAATGAACGCTTTAACAATCCGTCTATACTGGCTAGCCGGGAAACACTCTATTAATACAATGTAAAATTTTCTTACTTTGTAGACAGCTGAAAAGAGTAGAAAATTTACAATCATTTTCAAATATGTAATCTTGAAAGCACGTTTCAGAGTTAGTTAAATAGTATGAATATTTGAAATGTTCTATTCAATTAATGCAGCAGAATGTTAAAGAATGTCACTTACTTCGAACCACAACCAGTAACCTTCTAAATGGCTTATTAGAGTTCATAAAATAAAGAAATTTTCTTGAGGAATCCCTTTTTATTATTTTCAGTTTGGTATAAATATTTCCATGAGTGCCACAGGACACATTTTTTGTCTCTCTGGGAGCGAAGGAATTGAACGAGAAGAGCTCTGGTATCCAAGATACAAAAATATGGAAAAAAGGATATATGAAAAGGACTTATAATATGAAAAATAATCGCAGATTACTATCCAATTCCCTGCGGTTAAAGGGTTCGCATGCGTTTCTTTCCCTTCGTCAAGTAATTAGTTTTTGTCGATTGATGTTTTTGTTTTTGTTCCTTTGTTTGTTCGCTTCTTAGTGCGATGCACGTTTTTGTGGTAATCCACTTACCTAGTTATAAATAAAATTTAATTTGTATTTATTTGCGGCTTTACGAGATGTGGCGAGACCGCGAAAATAACTTTGATTCCTTTCAATGTTAGTCAATGATCTATTTATATTATATCCTAATAGACTGATATAAAGCATTTAATTTCTCGCCAACATCCTGTTCGAACGAAACTAGAATTTGGCTTTTGTTTATGTCTTTGATTTTGTTTTCTTCTTTGGATTGTCTTTGTCTTGAATTAGACTTCTAATACCAGCAGCGTTTAGCAAAAACCGAAGAGATTGAAAATCGATGAGACGTCGTTTAATACTTTTCACTTTTAAAAGCAACTTGTGACTTAATGTAAGCCAATTAGTGTGCACACGAGCAAGTTCTAGACAACGTACGTAGTCGACATCAGCTCAAAGTGGCGTTTTTTGTTTGCCTCTTCCCAGTTCCTCTCGCTCGACGCTCGTTTGCGACCAGGTTCTCAGGCAAAGAAAAACACAAACAAACAAGAACAAGGCTTCTCGTGCTTTAATCCTTTTATACGAGCAGGTCTATCTTTTTGTGTGAAAACTTGCCCATAGAAGTTCCGATTACGGCTCCAGTCAAATGCCGCCATACACAAGAGGCGCCTGAAGGCAAATGAGCTCACTTTTCAAGCATTGATTCCTTCATAACTCAGTAGACGACAGTGTATTGTCCTTCACACAAGTGTTAGGACCACGGTGGATCAATACATCTTTAGAGCAACAAAGAAAGCGTATTCTTGTTTTCATCACTGATGTTTTTCACCCTTAAATGGCAAAAAAGAATCACCCGATCAGTTAATAAGCGCGTGAGGTCAAGGTTTTAATGAGGTTGTTTGAGCGGTGTGTCTTAAAAATTAATTATATTTCTCTCTCGGCACTGTTAAGATGAACGGTTCGAACAACAGTTATATTGTTGAATATTTCGATCAATCCGCAGCGCTTTGCTCATTTTCTGATAAGAAGGGAACGGTCCACGGGTTGCCCATAATATAGTTGATTGAGTTCATTTTGAAAAGGGTCGAAAGCCAGGGAAACTATAGGGACTTGCTATTAAGGTAGGAGAAATTGGAGTAAATATGCATATTTATTGCACGGCTCATATACAACAAGGCAAAGTTTTATCACAAGTGCCAGTTTTATTTCAGACTGTGGTTTGTATTTGTTATGTTCCTAAGTTCAAGTTTCAAGTTTGTCTGCTCATATTAGAGAAAAATGCGGTGCAGTGAATACAGAACAAACCGACAAACATGAAATTAAACATAGCACTAGGAGAAAAACAGACAGAGACGAGAAATGCTATCACGAAAAATATTTTTAAGGTAGTAATAATTTGGATTATAAATATTACTGACATATAGTTATGCGTACGCAATTTTGTACTATCTAGTGTAAATGATAAAACTAACATTAAATATTTTAATATTATGATCGCACATTCTGAGTAATCCTATATTAGTCTAAAAGTAGCGTTTCTAACTTGAGATACACACTTTAGTCTTGTGATTCTCTCTCCGCACGGGCGTTTTTCCTTACTTTTCTTTTATTTTTTATCTTGACATTTTTTTCTTTGATTTCTTCACATTACCCTATGTGACAGAGACTTAAATGCAGCGTTATATCGATTTCCAGTTTCGGTGCGAGCCTCGCGGCTTCGGGTTCCCGAAGATGGCGCTCGACCTCAAACCATCCCGCCTCGTGGCGGGAAGAAAAATAATTCTGGTACGTAGGGCGGCTTATATCGTACCCGCAACACAAAAACAGGATGTTAAGATAGCGCTCACGTACGTAAACATATCTTCCGTCAGATTCCCTGCTTAAATGGTCTATACATGTGCTGGTTAAACCTTTTGACAGTAATTTGTTGTGAAGTTGTTGTTTGTTTGTCTTTTTTTCTTTTTAATGAGCATTTGTAAGTTTTGACGCTAGTCAACTTTAACCCTCGGTCAAAACTTGGAAGCAACCGTCGAGCCAATATATCAATTTCTCCCATACGTGAGGTTAATAGGGGACCGACGGATCTGGAACAATCCAGTTTCGCACAAAAAGCGGATCTCGAACTTGGGACATGTTACGAAATTTCGTTTCTTATGTCACTTCCTTTTGTTGTTAGAGCCTGGCCTCAACGCGAATTTCTCGCGGGGGAACCAACGGACTGTTGCAATCGGTTTTGATGTGGTTCTTCCGAGCAGCGTCATAAAGCCAGCCTTAGGCGGAACAAATTGTAAGTCCCTGGTAACAACAGAAGAAAAAGCAAGCCGCCTTTATGACCATCTACACTCACATTACTAACACCAATTTTCTTGACGGAACTACAGGGATTGACGATTTCATCTTCACTAACTAACTTTGCAAAGCAGTTTGGCTGACATCTAGAAATTTTGGTTAAATGGGCTCGGAAACAGCGAATTCCTAGAACGCGGAACCCACAAAACCTTCGAGGACGCGGTCGATGTAGCGGTCTCTAGGTGGTTAGAATTCTTGTAGCACGTGTATAGTTATTGCACGTGCGATCAGTGAAGTACTCTCGTCATCAAACTCAAGGGCGTAGTCACGGAGCCTTTGATTTCTTGGTCATGATTTCCTCTTTATAAGTTTTCTTCGAGGGTGAAGTTTGGTGGTGAGACATTAGCATTTTGCTTTGGTCTTAGAAGGCTCCATTTTTAAGTGTCAAACGTAGGTAGCGACAAAATTACTAAAGAGGACATTCTTTGCGTCTCCTACTTTACATCTGACCGCCATTGGTCATCCATGCCACGCGAATGTCCGTTTTTGATATCTCTAAACCGAGACACCTTTCGCTCCACAGTCCTGCCCCTCCCATGCAACTGAGCAGTAACCCTGCTGCGGTTCTGTTTCTCTTTTCTCTTGCTGTGTAGACTCAATTGCTAGTTCTGATTTAGGTCCATTCTGTATGTGAAACAGCTGAAAGGCCCCACCCGTAAAACATATTAGGTGGTGAAGATTTTCAGTGATGGTCGAGTTTTGATGACAACTGTCTCTGAAATAATTTATTTCTTGAAAGAAAAAGAAGAAACGGGCTACATTTATTCTGTGTACCGTGGTGACTAAACGAGACAGGAAAATGTTCTTAGTAAACGCAAAACCAAAATGGTGAATACTACTTGTAATAACTACGTAGTGTCCCTGTGCCTCGCAACCCCGAATGCCCCGATCATCGTTGAATTAAACGAACTTATTTTGGGCTTTAAGGGCAGCAGAGCTAAGCGGGAGACTACAACTTGCCGTCTCAGGAAAGAAAAGAAAAAAAAAAGAAATCAAGCAAACAAAAAGACATCGTGTAGATTATCAGAGATTAATGAATTATAATGAGATAACAACACTATTGTGTTTCAAGTCGACTAAAAAGCCCTCGCCCTTGATGACTTCATGCCGCCATTTCACACCTCCACCCACTTACGGGCGAGGGTTTTGCATAAAATAGTTATTTGCTATTGTTCGGCGTGTTTTAGTAATGAGTTTATTTGTTTTTCAGCTCCGCATAAAGGAACTCGAGACCTCACAAGCCTTTCGGCATTTCACTCATCAAGTCAACTCACACGGACGGTACCGAAATCTTGGAGTTGATCATGAAGCTGGCTGCAGCGATTATGGTGTTGGCTGTAGTTTGTGTGAATCGCGGTTTAAGCAGAAGCAAGTGAGTGAATCTATAGTTGCTGTGAGTTAATAGTTTTAACGCCTATGGGCATGTTCTTTCAAACTATTAATCGTGTAGATAGAGCACTTTATTTTCCGTATAACAAGAGAAAAAGCTGTATTTCTTTTGCCTCACGAATTTGGGTTCATGATCCGCTAGCAAGTTGGATCATGGATCTCAGATACTCCGTTCTTGAAATCTCGAAAGCGTTGCAGTGAGTCTTAAGTCTCGATTTCATGTGTTTGTTCCGTTTTTTAGTTCTTAAGTTTTCGGAATGTAGAGACTCGAGTATTTATACCAGGGTACCAGTGTCGCTATCTCTTGGTTTTTAACAACATTCGCCATCCTTCAACTTCACAACAAAGTCAAATTAATTTCATGTCGAGGAGTTGAGCCATGACTTCAACTTACTTCAAGTCAGTCTGTAGTTAAAAGCGACCATGTGAAACGAAGGCCAGACAGATTGCTACAAAAATTACTCTTTTGAGTTCTAGCTATTTAGCAAACCTTAGAGAAATTGACGTGAGAGTAAATGCGAAAGAACGATCAGCTCTTAAAGTTGCTATGTTTGATTACCTAAAAACAATTGCATTGGTTGAGGGTAGATTTCAAAATGATAAAAGTGAGAGAACTTTTCAAGAGTCTAAATTTCCATGGCCTCTAAGTACATTGAATTGTTTAACTTAGTTATTAGTAAAGTCAATTTGTTTATACCAACAACACATATGAGTTATAACATCTTTAATTAAAATTTGACACACTTTATAGAACAGAAAAAAACCGGTAGTAATCCTTCTACTTTTAGTGCACATATCAGTTTGTTTAGGATTGTGTATTCTAATTTGCGGCATTGCGGTTTATAGTGCGATATTGTATTTGAATACCTTGTTTAAGAGTCAGTTTGGCTTCATCAACTTTCTAACAATACATGTAATTCTTTTAACAGATCCGCCAGCATTCTAGGACAAGAGGTAATTTTTGGTTTGTTCGTGGTAATTGTTAATATATACAGCGGCATTTTGGCTGCGGTGTTTGAAAAAGGAAAAACAACACTTTTTTCAAGAAAGTTTCATAGAATAGACTAGATGTTTGTCTTTTCGTGTGAATCTGCACATAAAGTTATCTTCTGCAAAAGAATGGAATTGAATTTCTCTAGCCTTCCCGTCTAAGTGTTTATTGATCACAAAAGCAACATAAAGTGTTAAAAATGGATTTAGTTGCGAGACTAGGCAAGAGTGAAAGAACAGTTTCAACTTGAAATGGCAATTGAGTTTGGGAGCTAATCGACTAAACATTGGGGCCAGGGGCGAGTTGCGTGGATACATAGGCACTGTTAAATGCCTTGCATGTTTTTCGGCGAACGTAAAAATCGTATTCTAAACTGTGTAACTGATACCTTTTGTAAAGAGATTCGATAATTCCTTAAGTGATCGTTTATTTATGCCGCTTGATTAAAAACTCTTTTTTAGGCTTATCCATTGTTGTTGAGCTTCGTGAAAGCAGGTGGTCGTCTTGGGCTTCAGGAATGCCAAAGACAGTTCAAGAACGATATTTGGAACTGTACGCTGGACAAGCATGTGATTAAGGAACTGCCCATCTTTGTCAAAACAACGTTACCATATGGTAGGTTTGTTGTAAGGGACTTACTTCGCCCCCAAGTCATTTCGCCCCGTTTACTTAGCCCCCTGTTTCGAGAACGAGGAATATTATATTTGAAACGCGCCTGTTTTGGTTCATGGCTTAAACAACGGGGATATTGTAATTGAACCGCGCTTGTTTTGCTTTATGGCTTATAGAAAGAATATTATATTTGAAGCGTGCTAAATTAAATGACTCGAAAATAGGGGGCGAAGCAACAGGGGCGAAATGACTTGAAAGCGAAGTGACAGGTAAACTTATTAATACATTCAGTACGATTGGCTGAATATCAAAGATCAATGCCCCTGAGAACAAGCCTTCACTTGTTGTCAGTATCGCCGAGATTACGAACTACTAGAAATTTCAACGGACGCAAATTTTAAAAGATCCTCTAGTATTGTGGCCTGCTCCGTCTTACAAGTAACTACTTTACTTTAATATCATCTTCATAGCTTCTTTTAATTTAATATATATTTATAACTGCTGTAACCTTTCCACTCTGCCCACGTCGTCTAGCTCTTGGTATTTGCGGGCGGAGATGGCAAAACGATTTGCGACGTAGTCACATACCATCAGTTACAGTACTGATTTGATTTAAAAGATTTCCGAGATCCCTGTAAAACTGTCTAAATTATCCAAAAACCCTCGTGATCTTTTGACTTGATTTGATGGTATCGTGTTTCTTTGATTTTTTTACCTTTTGTGCCTTGGAATTGGTGAGCGCAAAATTCAAATTCACCTCTATCAGCGAATGCAAACCTTTAGAGAGTGGACTGGATCTCTGTAACTGAAAGCTTTAAATCCGACAGTAAACGTTATCTCTGATAGCTACAGTTTACGTACCAAAAATAAAATATGAGATGATTTCGATAACCTTTGTCTCGAGTCACTGACACCATTAAACACGTATTGGACTCATTATCCCCGTTAAGCACACATAGCTATTAGGCGATCTAGCGATGCGAACTATTGTAAAGGTCACAGACTGTATTCGACCCCTTTTCAATCATGTCACGAAGCTTATTTGAGAAAACTCACATATCTTCAACTCAATTCTTTTATTTTGTGTTACTGAGGCGCCTTTTCCCGTTCAAGAAGTAGTTTGAATATTCTTAAGCAAGCGGAACCTCAAAGAGTTAGTTGGTATAGAAACGTTCAATTTTTAAATAATAGCCTATTGTCTCTTTGTCTTTGCTGCTCTTTCGGGAAATTGCTTCAAGACAAAAGTCTTGGTGGAAACTTATATAGTAAAAATTATGGTTTGCGTACGCCCAAAGATGGAGTGAGAGTAGACTGGCAAACACACAGAAACAGCTTACTCTGTGAATTTTATAAATAAAAAGATGTGAGGCAGTGAGGGTGAAACAAAACACCTATTTTCTGAAGGTAATCGGTCAGTGTAGAGTATAGAAAAGGACTTGAGCCTAATTTGCGATGGTGAGTTTTCTTTTGATTTTAAAAGCTTTTTAGATGGAATAAAAATCAGCATGATAACCTTGGCTCTACAAATAACACATAATTATTTTAATCGTTCGAATTCTCTCTCTGGGATTCTAATTCTGTTTTAAGGCATTTCAGGCATTTTTCTATCATAATTTAGGCTATTATTTTTGTTTTGTTAAATGCGCTGGCCTAAACTAGTACGTGTTGCGCATTAATTTCTCATCACTATAATTACTCTAATTGAGGTGCTTTCGCCCGACGGTGTTTCGCGCAATAACATACCGTAACACCAAAACCAATTAGACTCGAAAAAAGCTTTAGATAAGCCTGTCTAGCAAGGGTTTCCGTTCAAGTTAATCAGGCGCGAAAGCTTTGCTCTCTCTCCAATTTTCGCGCAATAGCTCGAGCGGAAACGCTTGCTACGCAAGCTAGATTGAGATTAGATTTATTACTTTGCTAATGCATGTGTTACCCAACAAAGGATTAACCTGTTCTGATTACTTTACGGCAGCCACTCGAGAGACGGCGTTCATCCACGCAATCAGCTCAGCGGCTATTACCCATGAGATCACGCAGCAGTGTAAGAAGGGGAAAATACCCGGATGTACCTGCGCTGTGATAAAGAAACCAAAAAGGGCGAGTGATGACTGGACATGGGGCGGTTGCAGTGATAATGTGAAATTTGGAGAGAGGGAAACAAAGCGTTTCATAGACAAGCTCGAAAAGGGGAATGACGCTAGGACGGCTTTTAATCTGCATAACAATGAAGTCGGAAGAAAGGTAAGAGAAACAAAAAGAGACGCATAAGGATAGAAAAATTAATAACTTGAATATACTTACAACCTTAGAACTAACGTCTTTCTCTCTCCCTTCCTCGAGAAAGGATATTTTTGCGCCTTACTTAAAGAACAGTTTCTTATGCAAAAACAAACTAAAACTATTAATTACTACTTGGCCCTCTGGCTTCCTCGTCCGTTATCAATTGATTACTAGTTACGCTCATTGGTCCATCCGCACCGGAACCGCGCCGCATAAAGCAAGGACACAACAATGCCTCATTGTGATGGACCGAGTTGCTCAAATTGTAATTAGGGCAAGTCTAGTCTTACTGTTAGTAGCTACCCAGGTGGTACCCGCGACCATAGGAATGGGCCGGCCCTTTTGGCTCCACTGCTTTGTTAGCGTCACGTTCCATTCAAGTACAATTTTAGAGGCTTATCTAATAAATTCCCTACGATTTTCTGAAGTTTAATTTTCGCATTTCACGTCCCAAGTTAGGCTATTTTTCGTAGAAGAAAAATAGAACCTAAAATTTTCGGATTCAAAAATGCGATGGAGAGAGGAATCAGAAAATGTCTCACTTTCGTAATAAATCAAATTGCACCAGTCTAAAATTTTCGGGAAAACAATACTCAAGCCCTTGTAATTTCGAAGAAAGACTCGCGTTACCCTAGAATGGCCGAACAGCTACAAATTATTTAGCGCCGCTAAGTATACATTCCTAGAGATCTAAAAGTCCTCTGGATAGCCAAAAAAGTGTTTTCAATGTACTTAGGAGGAAGCCGTCGTTGGGTGCCCCTGGCAAGGTGCTTTAGTCCCATGAGAATGTTTTGCTCAATGCGGAGGGCTTGTTAAACCATGATCATTTGCGCTAATCGTCCTTTAAGCAGCTCGGTTATGTACAAAATGGATCAGGCATAAGCTCTAACATATGAGTTTAATGATGACATTTTAATTCATTCGATTCAAGTGCATGCTTCTGTATAATGCTCTTTTGTAGCACTGTTTATTATGCTGTGCAACATAGCGGCTGACTTGAATCTATGGAAAGAAACGAGTGCCACGCTAAATAGACGTTGCTAGTCTTTTCCTTTAAATTTTGACATTATCTTTAAGTGATACTATACAGGAAGTCCAATGATGGCCATCATATTCTGTTAACAGGTTGTTCGAGCAAACCTTAGGAGAGAATGCAAATGCCATGGCTTATCCGGAAGTTGCACTTTAAAATCATGCTGGAAGCAGCTTGGGGCTTTTGAAAACGTAGGATCGGACCTCAAGAAGATATACGGTGCTGCCGCTAGAGTCAAATTTGTGGAAAACAAGCTGCAAGAACGCATCACCAGGGATCTGCGTCGAGCTGTTTCTGCAAAAGACAAAAAGCTGGTATATCTTGATTCCTCTCCCAACTATTGCGTGCGAAACAGCACCGTAGGTTCGCCTGGAATGCTGGGAAGGATATGCAGGGGAGACGAGGTATCCACCGATAAATGTAAATCTCTGTGCAACGCTTGCGGTCTGAGGCATCAGACAATTCAGGAAGTGAAGACCATAAAATGCAAGTGCAAGTTTGTGTGGTGCTGCAGTGTGCAGTGTGATGAATGCACGTCGAAATTTTCCGTTACAACTTGTAAGAGATATTGAGAACTTGACTCACCGCAAGTTAAAATCAAAACTTACGATTTACGAAAGTCGAGTGCCACAGAAACTTCTGATAAAAGACTGCTTCTGTGAACAGAATAACGACTTTATTTGGGTCGTAATGTAGACAACTTTGTTTTCTTCGAAATGTGAGTAATTTTCAGTAATTCTAGGCCTTGAGGAGTTCAATGCAACTGGGCCTTTACGCTCACAACACAAACAGACAAAAAACTTTTTTTTGTATAAGACTACAAAACAAAATTACTGATCTCAACCAATCAAAATTTACACCCCACGTCAAAAATCCATTCGAAATGTGAGTAATTTTCAGTAATTCTAGGCCTTGAGGAGTTCAATGCGACTGGGCCTTTACGCTCACAACACAAACAGACAAAAAACTATTTTTTTTGGATAAGACTACAAAACAAAATTACTCATCTCAACCAATCAAAATAAACACCCCACGTAAAAAATCCATCAAACCATACAGATTTCAAACTAAATACCTCAAGGCGAAGAAGGCCGTGGGTAAATTAGAATTCAAGCACGCGCAATCATGTCGCGATCCTTCGTACAAAAGCCTACAAGCTTTTGTTGAGTCAGTACCAACAAAAGCCGAAAAGAACTTTTTGCACTGCTGTACCGTTGATATATCAGCGACTGCGCCCAGCGTTTCTATTTGGGTCACTCTTTCTACTAGAAGTAGCAATGAATTATATAAGCTAAAAGGTTTAGGGTTAATTTGATAATATGGTTAGGTCTCGCTCAATGTTAAGTAATCCATAACAGACTCGGACTTTGGATTCCACGCTGTGGTTTCCACGATTCCATTACTGGAATCCGGACTTCTGGACACTGGAGCTTGGGTTACCGATTACAATAGTTAGTGGGATTCCAGATTCCATAAGCAAAAAATTCCCGGATTCCGTAATCCGGATTAGCGTTCACGGGGCAAATGGGTATGTTAAAGTAACATTTTTTAGGCCCGCGAATCCTTTTCTTGCGGTACAAAAGTCGGGCGCGCATATGTTATTTATTGTATTTATCGCATGTTTCATAGTAAACGATTCTAAAAGCGTACATGCGGGGCAGAAGAAAATAATCCAATGGTAACCATTGTAAGATAAAGATATGTCAAAATTGTATATAAGGGTTCATGTATAGTTTTAATTGTAAGTATTGCTGTTAATAATGGGCATTTAGATACTTTACAAGGTATAATCTACGATTGCGGCAGTCACAGGTGTCGAACTAAGGGTATGTTTCTTTCGAAAAACCCAAAATTGGACTCTTGAATCTAAAAGAGCATTTTGGGTTTCAATGTAAACTGTGTGGACTGGATTCAAATCCAGATTTTTGAGGTGGAATCATGTCTGATCCATGCGTTTCTTTCAGTACTGTAAAAAAAGTACACTGACAAGCGATTTTCCCTTGAAAATACCATGCCCGGCAGAGTTCGCACCAGCATTGCCGTGATGCTTAAGAATGCGTTTTAGTAATCTTCCCGCTTTCCTTTTCGTTCGAAGTAAAAATCGAAAGAAACTGAGATAAAGGCTTTAGTATTTTTCTCTGTATCACAGTTGAAGAACAGAAACACAACCCTAACGCCGAATACCTGTGATACAAAGTATAACGCAAGTAGGTGTTAAAAATATTTTATCAACAGAAATAAAATCACTTTTAATCCGATATGATAAGAAGTGAATTGGTTTAATTATTAAGCATCAATAATCTTCAAAGTAATTACACAGATTTAGGCTTCACCAAAGGTGCACTTTTGGGTTTTGATAGACTGAAAGCAAAATGGTGATATCCACTGTAATTTGAACTGAACGATTTTTGCGCGCATTGCTTGCTGCATCACGTTTTGTCGCCCCAAGAAATTCCAGATTCTGGATTCTTTATCAGTGGAGCTGGGATTCCGGATTCCAATCTTTAGTGGGATTCCGAATTCCAAATCCCAGGGCCCCGAATTCCACAAGCAAAAATTTCCCCGAATCTTGAATCGGAGGCGAGTTTTTGGGGCCGTAAACGCAAGGATAAATTACCATTTACAGCTAAAGTCTAGCTAAGGATAACTTTGACGTTATCGGTTTCAAAGCCGAAGGGATTCCGAATTCCACAAGCATTATATTCCCCAAACAAACATTTTCCAGATTCCATTCCTGCATTCCTGAATCCGAGACGAGTTTGGGGGGCCGTGAACGCAAGGATAAATTAACATTAACAGCTAAAGTACTATTATAGCTAAAGAGAACTTTGACGCTATTGGTTTCAAAGGCCACCTGGAAGGGAAGCGCGTGTGTAGCTTTAACTCAATGCAATCACTGGTCGCACTACTCAAAACGGCTATATATTCAATCTTTTGCAATCCCTGATTTTGAGCATTGTTGGCTATTAATGTACAGACTAATTTTCCTTGAAAAATTTTCAAACCACTCTCTGAGATTTACTTGCAGTCACTACACTAGCCTGCGTAACGGGTGCTAGTTATCACTTTTTCACAGGCCGCGCGAGTGGAACACGTGAAGGGGAGAGGAAGCTCGCGAGATTTCTTCCTTCGCCCGGGTTCAATTCAGGGGTTTCTTATTCTGGAAGACAGGAAACAGCAGGTAGCCTGTCAAAGCTTTTCTTGTTTTCATTGTTTTCCCAAATTTTCGTTCAATAATCAACATGATCTATCTTGCCGGTCTTGCATAGTTTATTATATGAGGTCATCACAAATCGAGGAAGCTGAAAGAAAACAGTAAGTTAGTAAATATGTAGGTTTATCCCTAGTAGTAGTAAGTAGGCCTATACTGCGCTCAATGAATTCTTTTTTCTCTATCATTTCAAAATAAGTTTGAAACGATAATGTGGCACTTCTAGTTGAAAACTCAGAAGCCATTGGAGCTTCAATTCAACCCAACCTGTTAGGACAACTGGTGGCAACTTAATTCATGTTGTTTTCCAGTTCATAATGTTGCAGCCAAATGATTATTTACACTTCGTACTAACAAGGATACCCTCCCCTCCCTGTAACCGTTCGAGAGTTTGTGTCAGTTTTGGCCTAGAGACGATCTCCATGTGATGTTAATAACAGTCAAAAGCAAAATGCAATAAAATTACTCGTTCGTCTCACTCACTGGCAAGTTCCTGCATGAGTTACGCTGTTATTGTACTAGGTTAGGGGAAGGAATAACTATATATTTGAAGACCAGTCAGCCCAGATTCTATTCCGCTCAGAATATAAGCTTAAGTAAAGCTTCCTTTCTTGATGATTTCCCTTGCATGATCGACTGATAATTGAGTTACTTTCTTAATGCCGCCTTTAATTGGTTAGACAATTAATGTTGCCATGGAGATAAGTGGTATATAGGACAAGGAGGAGCGCTGTGTGACGACACAAAGAACTGCTTTATTAGGGACTAAGAGTTCAAAACAAGATTTTAAAGATTTCCGGGGCATGTTCGGGATAACAGTGATGTCATGGAAACCGGTGGAAACAACTTGCACACGCCTCACTAACGTCTTTTGTGTACCTTAACAGAGTGCTTTTCGTTCTACCGACGAGATGGCAAAGCTTATAGACGCACTGTGCAGCTTATTTTGGGGTATCATTTGGCTAATCATTCTGTTGCTGATTGCTCTTCCCGTTGGCTTCATAGCTGCAATACTCTACATTCTTGTCTCTCCATTTAACGCTTGTTGTGACTGTACAAAAAGCCTAACAGATTTCTTTAAGAAAGGCATCGAGTTTCCTTATAACGCAGCAAGCAATGCAGTGAACGGCAAGCGGGGATGCTAAATTGAGATTGTGGCGGTCAATGGGTCGGAGTGTGTATTCAGTTTTGAAAAAGAGGACCAAGAACTAGTACCTAACGGTCTGAATCTGACAGTTTGCATAATTATACCAGAAGAATCAATACAAAGGATGTAACCTTTTGGGTTCTACTAAGGTATTCTGTGCGTCGCTAGAGTACATGTCACTCATAGCTTCGAGGAGAAAAAATGAATGCCAATGGACCATATTCGTATCGCTCCATGCAAGGGAATCCAAGACAGTCTTGGATTCTGGATCCTCACCATGGATTCCGGATTCGAAGAACTGGATTTCGGATTCTTTGTTTGTGGAACTTGTATTCTGGATTCAAATGGTCAGTGGGACTCCGGATTCCTTTAGCTGTGTTCCGGATTCCGTAGCCCAGGATTCTGGATCACACAATTCCTGAATTTCCCGGATTCCGGATTTCAGAAACAAACTGAATATCTCGGATTCCAGAATACGGATTCCCTTACATGGGGCGAATCTTAACCCAGGCGGTCGGGGGTGAGTGGGCGACTAGGCTCTCGTAAGGGGGTGGGGAGTGGGGGTATCATTAAAACTCCCAAAACATTCCCCCGAATGAGCCTTTAAGCAATGTCCACATATAATAGTTTTTAGTATAAACAGAAAGTTTTTCATAAAAGGTTAACGTGCAATATGCAACTTGACTGAACAGTCTAAGTACATCGATTATAAAATCAATAAATATTTAACTGATATTTTGTTGTTGTTTACTGGTATCCTCTGTTGTTTAATTCCTTTTTAAAGTTTCCATTAATCCAGTGTTTTGCTAGCCCGAAGTAGAGACAAGTTGTCATTGCTTTAATTTGCTCGTGTCTCGCGCGCTTTTATCAGTATTACTCATTACCATCTCAGCGTGGTCGAGAGTGAATGTTAATGAGGAGGGAGTGAATACAGGTATGCAAATCCGCCGATCCGTTATGGTCAAGAGCCATAATGGGATGGTTATGATTTATTTTCAAATTAGCCGATGAAATTTCCCTCTGAATCCGAAATACGAGCAAAATACAAATTCCAAAATCCGGGCTCAAAAAATGGTTGAATCCGCAATCCGCTGCCATTGGCAGATCAACAAATCCGGCGTGAAAATTTCGCTCTGAATCCGAAATCTGAGCAAAAATATTTTCAAAATCCGCCGATCCGTTGGCCTATTCATCCGCCAATGAGCTTTTATGAGACTCAGGGTATGTCTAAACTAAAGCAGGACAGTGCTTGCGCACGCTGCGTCTGTATCGGATAGGGGGGTTCAGGGGAAGGGCCCGGGGGGCCCACCTTCTCTCATTTTTAGGCCGAACTGAGGCCCAAAGGGCCATAAAAAACCTTTTTTGAGACCCCCCGCTTTTTTCGGAGGGGGTGTTAACATAATAAGTCTCTTGTCTGCTTATCTTGCCTCATCTCCGAGGGAATTTAACACAGTCTTGTATTCTTGATTCCACGACGTATAGTCCGGATTCTAGTCAGCTCCACTGTGGAACATGGATCTGGATCAGGGCGGATAAAGGTTGGGCGGTGAAACGAGCGCTCCGCTCTTCATTTAATGTGTGATGCGGAGTAGGACTGGCACGAGCGCTCTTTCCGCGCTTCCGGTGCGCTTGAAGGCCGGCGAAATTTTCCTTTTTGCAAACCGGAAATCCTATTTTCTTTCTGTAATTTCAGGCTACAATGTTAAATAGATAAATTCGTTTCATAACAATATCAATAAACAGTTTCATATGTTTGTGACTGTACGTCTATAGGTCAAACTTGTTGGTCGTATAATGCCAAAATTTGAGTTTAATTTGAAAGTGTTGAATACCTCCTCCTTCCAGTAAATATCACCTAATCGTCTTTCACCGTTTCGTTTGTAAAAGCTTAACACTTCTTAACCTCAATTTTTAAATATGTTAAAGGGGGATAAATTTTATATAACATAACAAAAAATTAGATTGATATATATTGATATAGTGGCGTTGTACTTCTTCAAACTTTGCTTCTCGTTTGCAACGCGACATGGCGATTCGCGCAATGCGTTCCAAATCCGGCAACCGAATGTAAACAAAATTTATTGAGGTTAGTTGTAAGGTTTTTTCTCCGTTTTGCTCTCTAAAACAAAACAAGGTAAACAGCAAAAACTGAGGGGACACTAATTTTGAAGTTTCGAAGAAACAGAAAGACGTATGAGAATTTTTTTCAAAATTAAAAAGAAGGATGATGGTGATTGAAATTAGCATAATTTCACCTTGCACGAGCTGCACGCATTTATAAAATATACGTCATCTAGTTATGAAACACGATCTGCTGTCTTTTAGTTTTGCCATGGATGACATGGATGAGATTTTCCTTTGTGCTTTAGACAGTACTTAGTTGTTTTTGTTTTGGAATAACATCGACATTGGCGAGTAGCAGAACGAAAATATAATTCAGTGGTAGAGTCATGGAAGTAATAAAAGAAACCCTTTGAAAGAGATGTTTGTCTACTCCAACTAAACCTCCCGCAAAAAATAGCTACATTTGCCTCTCGGAGACAGCGTACCAGCACAAAGGAACGAGGAAGAAGTGCAAGAAAACATATCAAGGCGCCATAATTCAGTGACAGCGGCAGTGTCTTATGTACAAACCACATCGCAAGCCCCGACCGAAGTCGAAGACAAGCCACATTTCTAAACATAGTCCCAGTCCACTGCATCACACCTTTTTGCTCGGACGCGCTCGTTTCACCGCCCTACCTTTATCCGCCCTGATCTGGATTGTAATCGTCAGTGGGATTCTGGTTTCCTGGAGCTGTAAAATTTTCCTGCACTCCGGATTTCACAAGGAAACATTCCGGCATTGCTATACATCCCATATAGCGGATAGTCTTTTCGGGAGACTCTTCCATTCTCGTCCCCAGAGCCGCTTGGCCCTCTTAACCGTCGGAGACTGAGCCCTCGTGCTCAGTCTCCGACGGTTAAGAGGGCCAAGCGGCTCTGGGGACGAGAATGGTGGAGACTCTTCGTGGTATTGCTCCCCCCAGCTCGTGCTCCAACTTCACCGGAAAAGACTGGAGAGGAGATTGAGTAACCTCTCTGATTGAGCCCGCAAGACCCCATATCAATATCAATACGAGTGTGACTCAGTTTGTTGAGTAGTTTCTCTCAGTTGTAGCAAGTGTAGTGTTCATGAGTTTCGTAAAACATTCAGCTCGCCTCAAGCATATCACACGCCACCTGAATGCACACAAGTCCGTGACAAGCGCTGCTGTCGCTCATGTCTTCAGCAGGTCGACAAGTACAGGTAGGCTTCAGCGGCCCATGGTTTTGCTTACCGGCGGAGGGAACGGCATTTGCAAATGGATGGGGTGGTGTTGCTTCTTATTGATTCTCTGTTTTGAGACGTTTCAAGCCGTAAAGTAAATTAGTATTAGTTTCTTTCTGACAGGCCTTGACAATGAGCGCATTTACATGTACCGCTCAGACCTCGTTAATACAGACACTGGAAGCGGGGGGGGGGGGGAGGGGGGCATAGAAAGTTCCCTTATTGCTGGTTTGCACGTGACGTCACGGCGGCCATGTTGGTGGTCAAGAACAAAAGCATTTCTCTCCTCTGGGAACTAAAAGTCTCTATTTTCATGCAAATTCTTCAAGGAAATATTCTTTTGTTTTGACCCCCAACATGGCCGCCTTGTCACGTGGTTGCAAACCAAGAATTAACAAGGTGTACATATTAAGAGGGTTGAATTTACGGAAAATGTAATACACCAGTCAATGTTAAGCCCCAGGAAAGGGGGCCAATACCCAGGGGGATTTAACATTCTGGGCCATTTTCATGTCAAATTCTTTACCCAGGGGGAAAAAGATTGATGTCAAATACCCCTTCCCTTGGGGTACATTTTGTTTGATTTAAGATGATATAATTTACCATGCTTATTTCCTTATCACTCCCACAGTCTTTCTTTTCCATCTAATATTATTATATTGCATACTTTGTGCAGAGCCATTTCTTTCATAATCAAGCACTTTTAATTTTTTAAAGCTGTTTGGTCCTACACAGACAATTATTCAACAGTGAACAGGCAAAGAACAAACGTGGACACCAAACAACTTCCTGAAACAGGAATCCCACGGAACTCTGGGTAAAGTTTTCAAGATGGCAGGCTGAGGCTAGGTGTCAGACTCTTGTCAGATCTCCCCTACCCTCGGGATGTGTGTTATGTGATGTCAAAATAATCTTATATTATTCCCCGCCCACGAGAAAGCAAATACAGTCAAATGCCCAGGGGATGCCAGGCCTCCCTATCCTGAGGCTTAGCATTGACTAGTACATATTAGGGCTTACTTTCCCCAGGGACAAAGCAGACTGCCCGTATTAATGAGGTGTTCATATTAAGCAGGTGTCCGTAAAGGGGCACTGCACACTAGATGCGTCAATTCATAATGATTCCTTGACTGTTAGTCAAGTTCTAGTCAACTCCTTTACCTCCTGTCAGTTGGGGATTTGAAAATCAGGTTTAATTTGTTTGTTTTGTTAATGATCATTTGAGCGGAGTACTTGACTGAACAACAGTTGTGCAATTGGCAAAAAAATCACTAAGGCTTTTTCTGAGGTTCTGCGGCCTTCAAACAGAAAAAAAAATGTAGCGTTCCCTCCCCCATCTGCTCCATGCAAAGTTGTGCTGCTGCTTGAGCTATCAGTAAGAAACAAAAAACACCCCAACTTTGAATGTTGGGGACGGGGGAGGTTGTGGGGATTGTTTTGTTATTCGAAGTAGCCCATTATTTTGATGACAGTTTCTTAACAATGTTTTGTTGCTGTTTATAGCTAGACTAACAAGGCACACAGTTTTTCTCCTTAATAAACTAATGCATCATTTAATACTGCTTTACCATAATGATAGAGCTCTGACTACATCTTCTCATAGATTCCCAGGAATATGATTTAATTGTCATTGGTGGGGGATCAGGTGGTCTTGCCTGTTCAAATGAAGGTGAGAATTATACAAGCCACTAGAATATCAACTCCTACTGTATGTTTCAACTTACAAAACTTATACACTGACCTTACCCATGATACCCATTACACAGGATCATTAATTGTGCTCTTTCATATTGTGGGGAACGGGTATGAGTGTATGTATTATGTACTTTTTAAAAAACGAGCAGGAGTGTGTATTTATCAGTTTTTAAACCTTGTAACACAAGACTGCAAGTTTTTTTGAAGGGCTTCAAAATCTCTGATTTTAAGATCAACTCATTCTTATACTAATATTTAGATTTGGGATTATTTTGGTCCAAAAAATTGGACATAAAGATTAACTGTGTCTTTATCAGATATAATCAGATATAAAGACACTCATTAAACATTGATTTCTTTTGTTTCTTTGTTATGAATTGTGAATGAGTTTTGACGGGATTTTCAACACAACACCTACATAGTCCAAAAGAGTGCATCAAACTGTAGAAATTCTAAAAGTTGGTGTTAATCAGCCCAGTTTTAAACAACATGCAGACGTAAAAAAACTTCAAATTAATTAAAAAATATATATGGACATCCAGACAGGTGTCTAGCTTATTCAACACATTCCTTTGTAAATTTTCAAGTTTTTAATTGGCTGTATCTTGTTCAATATCGGCCTTTTTAACACCAAAATTAGGGATTTTCTAAAATCTGGTGTGGTCTTTCTTTTTAAATGGCGAGTGTGTATGTTGATAATCCCGTAATAGTCATGAACTTGTACCGTGAGTACCCCTGAAAGCCCACAATGGGGCAGAGAGGTGCTGTTTTAGTAGTTGCAAACTTTTTTTGCTTCTGTGAGTTGCTTGACCAGAGACCTACTGTGGAGGGGAAGCTTTGGGGTGTTGGCTTCTTTGCCCAAGGCATTGACCTTAAAACTTTAGGAAGAATGTCACAGACCCTAAGGGGCTATGTTGTCGGTATACTGGATAGCCTTTCATGCTTGCACAAATAGCTATCCAGTTATAGTAAGAACACTTGTCCGATATGTGCAGGGCTTTCATTAGAAGCCGGCTACCGCCGAAGCTCCGGCGGCTGCGAGTCATCGAGTCACCAGCTACTTGGTCATGTTTGTCAGCAAATACTTCAAAAATATAACTCTTAAAATGTTTACAGCCTACCCATTTTTCAGTTGAAATAAAATTAATCTGATAAAATATAGCGCTCTCTTGCCTTGAGATTATTGGCATAAAGCATATATAAACATGATTTCTGTACCGCGACGGATCGCAACTGATTGAGGAACGCTCAACCATTTTCAGCGGTATCATAATGAAATTTAGCCTCGCTCCTAAACTATTACCATGTGGTTGGTTGAACAAAGATGGCGGCCATTTTGGCCGCATTTCCGAGCTTCTAAATTTCAAAATTTTCTGGGGGAGCATGCCCCCAGACCTAAATATTCACAGCCACCTACTATTATATGGGCAGATGCTTACGTCAAATCTTATTGAAAGCCCTGTATGTGACTCTCTATTATTTAGAGATTGGCGTGGCTCAACTTCACTCCATTATGGAAATTGTGCTAAAATCACCACTAGTGAACTGATTTAAGCCTTCTCTGGCATAGTTTTTGTGCCGGCGTAAAAGCTATCCCATACCGTGTAAACATGCATGTAGCCTAATTCTCTTTTTTGTAGGCTGGCCACAGTGTATGCAATTATTTCCAAAGTTGGTTAATGGGAAAACTGAAATGATTTTAATTTGTTGGCTTGCAGCTGCCAAATATGGTAAAAAAGTTGCTGTCTTGGATTATGTATCCCCTTCACCACAAGGTAGGGAAATTATAATATTATTAATGACCATTTTGTGAATCTCAAGGTAGTGCAAGTACATGTACAAATTTAAATTTTTTCAGTAACCCTTCACAACAGATTAACGGGAGGTTAGTTGAAGTGTGTTCTACAGGAGCTTACATGTGTATCTTTTCTTATTTTCCTGTCAATAACATTTTTGAAATGCCCTAATTTTTAGATTTTAAAATGATTATAACTAATTTTTACGATTTCGATATTCGATGTTGAAAACAAAATTAGAAAATCACATAATTGGTGAGAATCATCCACAATGTACCCATTAAATGCAATCCATTACCCCTAAAGTGTGCTTTCATGGTCCGTGGAATAGATCTTCAGTAGCTCAGTGCCAACAGATCTAGTGCCGGGGTTGACTAAACTTTTTTTTTTTAACCTTGAATTTTGGTGCTTGTATTAAAGGATCAGCATGGGGCCTTGGAGGTACATGTGTCAATGTTGGATGTATTCCAAAAAAGCTAATGCACCAGGCTGCCTTACTGGGAGAGTCAATCAAGGTATCCTGACAGTTAAACCTGCATGATATGTGCAGCCATCTCTGCAAAGCAACCTCCTATTATAAAAAAAGTCAGACTACTTAATTAAAATATTAAGACAGTTTATTTTTTCAAATAAAAGCAATACAGTGACAACTTAAGCCCCCTGGCCTGTCAGTATCCAGCTCCAGTAATCCACCTCCAAAATTTGCAGTTTAGGTTGTATTTTTTGTTCCGTGCATGCAATTGAAATTCTTTCAAGGAAAGAGAAATATAAGAAATGAAGTTATACTGGTGCACAAAAGTAACTACTGTACACACTCCATTTTGAGACTTGTGGTGGATGTGTCAACTGAGGAGAATAATGTTATTTGGGTGTTTACTCATCGTCATCATTTTTGGTTTGTTAGAATTACTGATGAAAATGTGTAACAAGGGGATGCACTCTAAAAAACTATTACATTGTAACTGACATTGAAAACTAACTAAATTTATGAAATAAAGTGTATTATAAAATTAAAATGAACTCGATCCGGAAATGAAGTTTATTAAAAAAGGCACATGTCAGTTAATGTCCAATGACTTTGCAGGATGCACGTCATTTTGGATGGAATGTTCCAGACAATATCTCATTGTCATGGTATGTATTCTTCCTTTGTGGTTATATAATTAATACATGCATTTTTAAAATTTTTATTATGTTAATTAAATCAATTGCTATAAAGTTATTATTGAGTGTTATGTTGAAATAATATTATGCTAGTTTGCAATAATTATGAATAATTATTATTAAGATTGATATGAGAGAATAAAACATAAAGAATGAATTATTCATCCCTGAATCTCAATGCCATTTGTATTGTTTTATTCCCCTTAGCCTTGGAGTCAAGCATGAATTTAAATATTTAAAAACTAACCAATTAATTTTTTGGTTACTTCAAGTTTTAGCCAGTAGTAAACTTTAAAATGAAAAGAGCAATTGATTTTGCAAATGAAAATATATTACTGGCATATTAATCATCATCATCATCATCACCATTATCATTAAAGTTGCTCAATAGACATGTATCACTTAAATTGTACAAAGTTGACTTTGGTGAAGTGAACAATGCTTGAATGATCAGTGCCGGGGATTAAGCTCATGGCTGGCTGCCAGCTTATTTCACTGGCTGAAAGAGAGTTAACCACCTGCAGCTCAAAATGTTGAAATTACAAAGGCATGGAGATTGACTGATAAGAAAGCCTACTTCCCTTTTCCATAGCTTTAAGTGCACTCTTCTCCTACCAAAGTGTCTTGTATTTAATAATTATTGTGAGATAAAGGGAGAATTTCACATTACATCAAAAGTCATGATAGGGCCTATCTGGAGTAACCTATCCTTACATATACATGAACATAGCATGGAACGTATGTGTCATGTCTCCTGTTTTTTTTTTTTTTGTTAATGACATGTCAGGGAAAAATTGGTCCCAGCTGTTCAGAATCATATCAAGTCACTAAACTGGGGCCACAGAGTCAAGCTACATAACAAGTAAGGAATTGCAATTTAAGCGATATAGTTTATATAAATCAGAGTACAATAATTGAATTATAGTGATAGAGACAGTATCTGTTGAATGTAAAATCATTTGTTCAGTGAGAAAGAATTTTATTTAAGATTATAAAATTTGAAACAGGCACTGTACCAAACTTCATAGATTACTTCTACAATGTGTACACTTTTTGCACATGAAGCTCGTGTGCCTCTGACAATGTAGGTCTTATTTCATGTCCTGCTAAAAACCAAAGAGTTGAAACATCCAAATTTTCTTCCCAATAATGCTGCTATTTTACTAAACAAAAATCTCCCTTCTTCTCACATAATTACAGCAAGGTGGAGTACCTCAATGCAAAAGGATCATTCTTGGACCCTCACACAATTAAAGCAGTACTGCAGAATGGCACTGAGGTACGTTACACAGTGACGTAAATACTGGAATGATAGTCTCTAATTAGGTAGACCTCCTTGTACAGGTCTTGTAAGTGTGATAGAGAGATCCTTGGTTGAATGCGTAAGGAACACAACTCAACCCATTTGTACTGAAAGCTCCACTGTTCTGGGATAATTATATAATGAGATGAACTTTAAGATGTTACAGCTGCTGTTAATAATTATAATAATTATAATAATTATCTCAACAATTATTGTTGAGTGCAGCCCACAATGGCCACGAGAACAATTAAACTTAACACCAAACTGTGGTCTGAACTACATTTTCAGCAGCAGTGAATGGTCTTTTCATAAAAGTGAACTAGCCCACATTCGTTATATTGAAACTCCAACATGACTCTGTGGCTTTAGGGTCAAAATGGCAACTTTTTTCAAGACGCCAGTGTCTTGCAATTCCCAGAAGAGATTTGAGCACAAAGGAAACCAAACTAAAATATAGAAAAATGACCAGAAAGCCTCGGAGTCATGTTATAATTTTAATATATCTTATGTGTGGCTTTCAGTCTCGATTTTTCATCAGTCTTGAATTAAATTTACTCTAAATGCCACCAACTGTTTACGCAAAATTATTTTTCATTATTATTTTTCTAATAATTAAAATTTACTGTTTTCAGAAAACTCTCAGAGCAGAGAATTTTGTCATAGCTGTAGGTGGAAGACCAAGATTTCCATTTGAGGTCAGTGAAGTTATTAATAAATTTATATTAAAAGTACTAGAACGGCTGTCGCTAAGGTTTCAAGTTGCCGTGTAGATACAACAAGTAGGCAGGGAATCAAACCGCTAGGGATTTCTTTGGTTCTATTTTTCTTCTTTTTTTCTTTGGCAGTAGCCGGGGGACCACGTTCTTATACAACCCTGACTAAATTTTGGGTAGCAAGGGCTGTGCAATGGTGAGAGCACTCGCCTCCCACCAATGTGACCTGGGTTCGAATCCTGGCGTCAACTCCATATGTGGGTTGAGTTTGTTGTTGGATCTCTCCGTTGCTCCGAGAGGTTTTTCTCCGGTTTTCCCTTCTCCTCAAAAACCAACATTTCCAAATTCCAGTTCGACCAGGAATCAGGTACACGAAGAACCACTATTAAAGTGGATGTGCTACCTCCAAATCGTTATTGATTCATATCCCTCTGATGCAGCATGTGGTCTGTGATTTTGTTTATATTTGCCATTGCCCTGACACTAAAACTCTCTTTTGTTTATGTAATTAAACATTGAACACAATTATTTACTATTAATTTAATATTTCTTTTTTTAAGGTACCAGGTGCAATGCAGTATGGCATCAGCAGTGATGATCTGTTTTCTTTGGAAAAGCCTCCAGGAAAAACGTGAGTATGATTGCTTCCCTGTTAATCACATAGACTGCGAGCAAGCTCTTCGATTACAGCGAGCGACACGAGGCGAGAAAGAACGAGCGAGCGAGCGGCGAAGTCGCGACGCCCCTCGCTCTCGCGCGAGTTCTCGAGACTTCCCCAAATGGAGAGCTTGCTCGCAAGCTATTAATCACAGCGCATAGAGAACAAACAGTATTGACAGTTGTTTCTGCGAGCCATTGCTTGCGAGCAATACTTAAAAAAAAAACTACAATGTAATCAATAGTTTTGGATGGATAACCGTATTTAGAGTAAAGATTTGTAAGCTGATGACTTTCTGTCTTATCGTGTTTTGACGTAACTTCAGTGAGGAACGAAAGTTAAACTGTAAAGATCATAATTTCCACTTCTTCTTTGCCTTCAATTTTTCCGCCAAATGTTCGCTGATTCCTACAAAAAAAAATACTGTCAGAATGTATATAGTTGTATTTTTTTGCAACTTGTTAAAAGCCCTTTCAATATGCTTTTGTTTGCTTGTGCCACCTGCTTGAAAGCCTCGTTATCTTGGCCTGTAAAGTGCGCAGTCTCCGCCTTTCTCCCTTTGATATATGGCCTTTAAGATACGAACCTCAAAGTTGCTTAGTAACACAGGTGTCCCAAGCTCACGTTACGAGAGTGGAATTTACATTCCACTCTCATAACGTGAGCTTGCGAGGCCTGTGCTAGTAAGAGGTATAATGTCGCTCATGTAGTAGTATAATTTTAGATTAACACAAAGTTGTCTGTCAAAAATCATAGTTACAATAATTGGCTGTCTCACAAAAGTGACCCACTGTCTGCAGGTACTTCTTATTTTGCTGTGGGTAAAGTGATTTCCCTTGGTCATCTCGCCACTAACAAAGTCGCCACCAAGAAGTCGACTCGCCGCCAACTAACTCGCCACCAAGTAAGAACTCTGTAATCGAATTCGAATAAGCTTAACGAAGAAGTGAAATTCTAGGTAAGTAATCCTAGGTGAGTAAACACTCCGATTAATGCAGAGTGGTGGCGATCGATTAGCCTTCTTGGGGGCGAGTTGGTTGGCGGCGAGTCGACTTCTTGGTGGCGAAATAACCGTAAACCACCGTGCGGATTAATTTTCCTTTAAATCGTCATCAGACTTCTCTTATAAAGATTTTAGTGTCCCTTACTGTTACTAACAGCTATTTTGTATCCTTTTGCAGTCTGGTTATTGGTGCTTCATGTATCCTTTTACATTTCAGATTTCTCTTGTTTTTGCTCTATTCACATCATTTCGCCCTGCTCTCATTTTTGGCATAGTTGACTTTGGATGCTCCTTAGACAACTCTTTTGATTTTCAAGCGAATTTATAATTCAAATAAACATTTCGTTTCTTGCGGTGTTCTTTCCTTTTTTGGACTTCTGGAGAAAAAGGTTTCAGACTCTTTCTGCTGTTACTATCTCTACCAGAGCAGAAGGGAGCCACCGAAACCTTAGCCATCTGTGATACAATTGATGGTTTTGCTGTACCTAGAGTACAGCAGAAGGCAGTGAGCTCACTGAATAATTCTACACAGGAAACTTTTCCCTGACAATATTTTATGGAAGACGTGGCATTGGAATGTGCCGGTTTTCTGACAGGCTTAGGATTCGACACGTCATTGATGATGAGGTCTATACCACTACGTGGGTTTGATCAGGTGAGACTCTTTCAAGCTTTCTAGGCAGGTATTCCAGGTGCAAAATCAAAAACCAGGCCGAGAATTACTGCAGTTGACCTGACCTGCGATAACTGCTGCAAAGTACAGGCCGTCTTTTTCAGACTACTCCTTATTTATTTTCGTGGTTTTATGTACAGCGCGCGTAGTTCGCTCGCGGTTAGTACGGTTGTTTATACTGAAAGAGGTTAAGCCTTCTCCCGATGGCAAAATGACAAAACTTCTTACATTTGATAACTTGTTCCCGCCAATACTACATTTTGGCTAAAACTCGTGGGAGAATGACGACGGCCATCGCGTTTTCCCGCCGAAATGACGCTGGTTCACGCGTGAGCAATACTCAGTATTGAGAAAATCTAAACAAAATCTCGTATTCGTAGTCGTCCTCGTCTCCGAGTCTAAAGCACTCTATTGTTGTGTGGAATTCGTCACTTTAAAAACCAGCAGGAAACTGGGCCGAGTTAACGTTTGCAAAGACTTCTGGGTCTGTTATGTTACAAGGGTCAGGTAAAACGATTGGCCATTAGCTGACTGGTGCGCCCCAGTAACAATCCCAGAAACACGTGTGGGACACATTTTGGTTCCTTTCTCGTTTCTAAAGTGGTGAATTGCGCTATCGGTCTGTTTTGGTGGACTAATAGACCTTTTTACCGATACGGCGGCCACATTGAATTAAGGAGTATTATAGGATGCCGAGGGAGCATGAGCACATTTCGTTTGTATTTTCGAGCGCTTTTCGGGACATTTTTTGTTAAAGTTTTCTTAGAATAAGATTCTAATGGAAAAAAAGATCCTTGTGCCATGTTTGGATGTAGTAATGATCGCCTTTTTCCCAAGAAATATACAGTGAAAGACCATATTTCTAATACTAAACTAGAAAAAGGCGATCATTATTACATCCAAACGCGGTACAAGAATCTTTTTTCCCATTGCAATCTTATTCTAAGAAAACTTTACGAAAAAATTTCCCGAAAAGCGCTCGAGAATACAAACGAAATGTGCTCATGCCCCTGGGCATCCTATAATACTCCTTAATTCAATATGGCCGCCGTATCAGTAAAAAGGTCTATTTTGACCTAATTTTCTGTGCAACGTCGCCATAGCCAATGAAAAAAGAGAAATCGTCTCCAAAACAATCGCCTAGTGCAATTCGACACTACAGAGACCCATGTCAGTCTCCCGCTAGACCTCAAAATCAAGCGCAATATGGCCAATTCTAGGGTTGTCCGTTAGGCGAGAGTTGGTTGTTTTCCGAATTTTTTGTTGCTTGTGCTTAACTAGCAAATGGCCCAGCTCGTGTCAGATTACATGGAGAACCATGGAACTAGGTTCTTGAAGCACTGTGTTCCTGTCAGAGTCGACAAAGATGACAGCGGATTACTTCATGTAACTTGGAAAGAAACTGAGACGGGCAAATCACATCAAGAAACGTTTGAAACAGTTCTGTTTGCAATCGGTAAGCCACAATAAGCTAACAAAACCAAGAGCTCGAAATAATGGCCGGTGAACAGAAAATGTTCGGCCAGAATGGGGTCTTGACCGGCCGGAAACGTCACTCGCCGGTCATGTTGACTGGTCACGACGCACACTCATTTTTGAACAACCAGCCAAATCCTCACCTGTAAAACTTAGATTTTTGTCTCTTTGTAAAAATGCAATTAGGAAATTGCACAAGGGTTTGGCAACATATTTTTGCAATATTTTAACTGGTGATAAAAGAAGCTTGACGGAGCAAAAATTTCTTTGGCCGGTCATCGTGTCCGGCCACCGTCCGGAAGTTATTTTAAGCCGTGAAACAAAGAAGTCTGGCGAAGTGAATAATTATCTGGTACACTTTATTAACTATCATTACGAGCTATACCAAGTTCTATTGCAGCTATTAATTAATAATGTTATTGCACGAACCTTCGATTACTAAAACTGCCTTTCATGTAGGCAGGGATCCAGAGACAAGCCAACTAAATCTTGAGAAGGCGGGAGTTGAGGTGCATCAACAAACCAAGAAAATTGTTGGAAACAACAGCGAACAAACAACAGTCCCGCATATTTTCGCCATCGGAGATGTGCTACAGGTATTTGATAGAACTCAAATCATGATGGAAAAGCTCGTTCCCAGTGTCTTGCATCTCCCCTACGACCAGGGGCCCGGAAGAGGAGATACCGTGGGAACGAGGTTGATAAGACAGGAACCACAATCTCGATGTCTTTTTATATCCAAAGTATTGTCAAGCTTCCGCAACAATAGATTATCGCACTTATGAAATCGTAGCTGGGATACCGTTAGGGTACAATTACGCTCATAAGCCCCTGGCTTATACAACTTCCTAAGGGGTTTCAGGAGGGCCCATATATGGGGTGGGGCTTATAATATCCGGTTGAGGGGGGGGGGGGGCTTATAACTTAATTGGACGAAGAAAGAGCGTTTCAAACACACTACATAGAGCATTGCTGATCAAAAGACTATTTTAGTTAACTCGCTTTCTTTAAGCTTCAAAACGTCGTAAAAATAGAATCCATTTCAATACAAGCTACAGATGGTGGGGGGCTTATCCAGGGAGGAGGGCGCTTATCAGCGGAAGTTTACGGTATCATAATTCATTATCACTCAACCCAACCCCCCCCCCCATAAAAAAAAAAAAATGAATCCAGGCCCAGGTTTCTGTTTTTCATTATTTTGGTGATGAAATTTAATTGTTCTTTAACACTGGGTTTCCTTTCCTAGATTTTAGGGAACTTAGGAAGCCACTAGGGCGATCAGAACGACAAACAAAACAATATGTTTCATGAGAAAAATAAAGGCAGTAAATAATTATCTTCTGTATGTAGCTGAGTTATCAGTTTGTTTCGTTAACAGGATAGGCCAGAGTTGACTCCAGTGGCCATTAGAGCTGGAAAGTTGTTGGCTGATAGGCTTTTTGGAGGCTCTGACATTTTGATGGACTATGATAAGGTTGGAGTAGAACACTGAAGTATTAATTGCTGTTTTTTGTTAGTTTATCTTTTTTTTTTCACTGAGTATTTGGTCAATTATACTCTGAAATAGGAATAAATAATCGAGAGATTGACTTGCTATTCAAGTTCAATAGCGGAAATTGCAGTTTAAGGTCTCCTTTAGGCTTGTGAAGCCAATTGTTTTAACTATAAAGGTATCGCTTAGTGTCGTGCGTTCTCTAAAATCTTGCTCCCCAACTTTTTACTTGACAGGTTCCCACGACAGTGTTCACACCACTGGAATATGGTACAGTCGGTCTTTCGGAAGAGAAAGCTATCGATATGTACGGAGAAGACAAAATTGAGGTACGGTAGGGTTGCTATGAGAAGCAATGAGGGTTATATATGAAAGTGTGATATGACCTGGCGAGATTTCGCTAAATTTGTATTGGTTTAACATCTAAAAAGGATTTAAGAGGCTACGTATCAAGGTCCCAGAAACCGCCCCTGTACACGGCGATCACCATTTTAACAGACTCTTGGCAGTCCGTACTTCTTCACATGGTAGAGAGTAAGTTTCACTTATACGGCAAACGTAAGATTCAAGTTGGAAATTTCTCAAAATAGAAAATAAGCAGAGAAAAAAGTTCAAAATAATTCTTATGGATGAAAAATTGCGTGGTACAACTTTGCGTTTGCCGTTTGACGTAAACTTGATGCTCAACCCCTTTTTAAGTGACAAAAGGTGAACTTTAGGAGCGAAAGTACGTGTAATAAGGGTCGCGGCGGGGAATGGCTTGAAGGAGGGAAGTGCCCTTTTCTTTGATGCGTTTTGTTCTCATTAAGTTTATGCCAGGTGCGACTTTGATGTAAGTAGTAAAAGTCAAATTTTCATTGAGAGAATTTATCCAATTATTATTGATCCAGCCTTGGGGACCATGCATCCTTTAGCCAGTAATAGACTACAAGAAGTCCCTTAAGTTCGTCAGAGATACTACCGAGCCAGAGGAACGCGACACGCGAAAGGGAGAAAAAAATGTCCTCTTCCGGTATGCAAGATTCACCCGCGCTCACGTATTTCCTCATTAATTTTCTGTTACGAGGCGCTCCACTTGTAGCTAGAATTGTACATTTCAACGTTGCTCTTCGACGACACTGCGGACGTCAATTTCATTTTCTAGATTCCGATCTGTTTATTTTCTAGGTGTATCATGCCTTTTACATACCACTCGAGTTTATCGTACCTGGTAGACACGCTGAGCAGTGTTACATGAAGGTAAGTCTCCTGCTCCTAGCCTTATCACTCAATCAGATCACAAAACTGACGAATCGTTTTCTCTTTTGTTAATTGTCAGGCCGTTTGCTTAAGGGAGGGAGATCAGCCTGTTGTTGGTCTCCATTTTATCGGGCCTTCCGCCGGGGAGGTTATTCAGGGCTTTTCTGCCGCTATGAGGTAAGTACATCGGCGTAGGGTCAACTCTCGCGCAGGATTAGCTTAGACCGCGCAGGATTAGCTCAGTTGATAGAGCTCTTGACTGCAGAGCGCGAGGTCGCGGGTTCGATTCCCGGGACCGGACCAACACTCAGGGTCTTAAAATAACTGAGTAATGAGGGTACTGCCTTGGCCCTGCGCAAATGGCTAGATCTTCGCGTGGCTCGGAAGGCCACGTAAAATGGCGGTCCCGTCTTCAGTACGAGACGTAAAACTAGTGTCCCCAATTAGTACTTTCGTGCTAAATACATTGACACTCAAATGAAGTACAAGTTTTTTTTTTCTCAGATGGACACCTTCGGGGCTGGCCCCGACTGTCCGTGTTACAGAGGTGTCCGTCTTATAGAGCAGTCCGTTTCATTTCGTGACAGTCAAGCTGCACCGTGTAAGATGAAATTATAAGCCGTAACTACTCAAACGTAGCCTGCACAGCAAGTGCATGATAAATCGTGATAGATTTAGGGCGTACCAAAAGGCATTTTTCGCGCTCGCCGCTTATTAAAGAGCCCCCAATAGGGTTCTTCAATCTTGCAATCCCGACTCAATATTTCGTGCAATCCCTTAACCCCGAGTGTTATACTTGGCATCCCACTCCCGTGCATACTTTCAATCCCAAAACTCGCCCCGATTTTGCTTTCAAATCCTGAATCCCGAACTTCAAATAAGGGAAATCCCGGATCCCGAAAAACGTATTGAGGACCCTCGAAATTGTTTATTCGCCTGTCATGCATGCATACTCAAATGGAAACGTGAAAAGTTTTGTGGCTTTCTTTTGATTCTACTTAACAAGGTGGGTATAACTTTTTAGTCTGAGGATGCAATCCCAAATGTGCCTTTGATGGGGGCAAATACTGATCACTTATTATTTGTATTATTTTCTAGGTGTGGTCTGACATACGAGAGTTTATCCTCGACTGTTGGCATTCATCCAACTTGCGCAGAAGTGGTTGTGAAAATGCGTATCACCAAAAGATCTGGGTTGGATCCAACTGTTACAGGCTGCTGAGGATAAATATACCCCCATATACAAGTTTGTCCGAGAAAAATAAGCTTATTTGACATTTAACCCGACCATGCTCTAGTTGACGCATCTTCTTACTATGATTATAGCTTTTGTTTTGGACCACGAAAAACCAACAAAATGCTAATTAAATTTCTCGGGAATTTTTTAGCTTTTCAATAAGTAGTGATTTCGCAGCAGCCATGTTTGAGCAGAGGACAAAATGATTTTAATTTTCCAAAGGAAAGTCGCTTATGTTTTATATGATCCTCCGACATGGCCGCTATTAAAGGGGTGAAACTTCGTAACACTTTAATGCAGAAGAGCATTGGGTGAACAGTTTCTTATGAATCTCCTCTAACGTGACCTAGTTAGCTAGGGAACCTCTTTAAAATTAGGCTTCTACTTATTTTTACTATGTTTATTTTTTCTCGGACACGTATACGTAGTGGGGGCACAAATATTATTTATCTAAACAGTCACTTGTGTTTATGACGAAAGGTTTTGCAACTGTGGAACACAAGAAAACCTCTCTGAATCCATCACAAGTGTATTTTGGAAATTGTCTTGACGTTGTTTAGTCCGACAGAGGCTAAGACTGTCTAAAAAACGTACACTGCAGACTTGAAAATCATTTGTCTTCCTTTAGATACCTAGACTGCAAAACAGTCGGTTTTTTTCTCAAAATCAGTAAAGAAATCGGTAAAGCGTGGCTTAAGAGTCTTACGCGCGCAAAGCGCGCGAGCCTCACCCGCCCGTAGGGCGAGTGAGGCGCAATGTGAGGCGAGAGAAAAAAAACGTCTCTCCCCAGTGTCGCTCTCTGTTTTCAGCCTCGTTCCAGACCTTTTGTTTGAGTGCTCGCGCGTACTTGAATACGCAGAAATACGGACTGTTTTGCAGTCTATTAGATACCTTGTAAATAAACGGGCAAGATTCGTGAAGAACGGTTAAAATGATTAATTAAAAAAAAAAAATAGAACCTGGCGAACAAAAATTAAAACACTATTACAATGCGAAAATGGTTAATAATGCTCCTCTTTACTCAGGGAGGTTAAATCAATTTTGTGAAATAAAAGCGTCGTTTTAACAACCTACATACAACACGTGTGTTGAATTTCCACCTTCAAAACGAGGCTAAGTGCAAAACGGTTTAACTGTTTTTTTGAAATTGAGTTTTATTTGCTTGAGAATAAAACATCATTTTTATATCAATGGCTTCGCGCTTTGGCTTCGCTTCGTAACCGGAAATGGCCCATTATATGCATTGTCTTTTGTTTGTTTGTTTCTGTTTCCCGAGGGGAGTGTGAAAATTCATTGCAAAGATGGATGCCTCGTCCGTTGCTCTAGTTTAAGACCGTTCAGTAGTGTTTTCATAAGCTGTTATGGTTATAGTTAATTGACCATAATGACTTGAACCAGGAGAATGACCAGAGGGAGCAAAATTAGCAAACAAACACATTACCAAAATGACCAAAACTTCTGAAATGACCAAATCAAAATGACCGACAGAAATGATACCACAGGTCAGGAAATAATACATCTGCTAAATAATGTAATTTTTAGCCGTTTTTATGACTTTGCGAAGTTTTACACGCACTACGTGAATCTGTAGTAGATAATTATACACTGCGGAAATTTGTAACATTTTAATTTTAAGTTGAATCATTGAAAATCAATAATTCGTAAGAAGATTTGTATCTAGAATGAAGCTTGCCACATGGTAATTTCCCTGTTTGAAGTTTACTTCTTGGTAATAGAACACAGTTTTGTTAAAGAAGAATTCAAACACCAGAAAGCTCGGAAAAATTTTCCGAGCTCCAGTTGAGAATCGAACTCACGACCCTCCGAATTCCGGGGAGAATTCAAATGGAACGAATCATCCCGGTGGAAATTTTCCGGAAAAAAAGTAATACCTTTCGAGGTATTCACTTTTAACCGAAACGACCGAAATTTTCTGTTCCATTTTTTTTATCTGGATTACTAGTGCCAGGCTTCATGTCGAGAGAAAGCGAAAAATTTACCGGTATTTTGTAAATGGTACAACTCAATCCCGTTCCTGTTTTCGGTGCCAAAAAAAATACCAGTACCACTTGACGGAAATTTTTCACCGGAATTTCCGTACAAATGGTAAGCGCTCTAGAATGTTTAACCATTTGTATATGTCACAACGTAGACAGCACATTATCCTCATTTATTTTAGGCCCCTTTGTGTTGGTCCGGCCGGGGTTTGAACCCGAGGCCTCCCGTTTGGCAGACAGACTCTTATCCAATTGAGCTAACCAGGCGGCTATACTATAAGAGAAGACTAAACGTAAAATAGATGAGACGTAGCGCTGCAGGTGGAGTAAAGTAACACTTGATTTCGATGCCACTTAGGTCACCATTTCTCTTAACGATGGCAACTGTAGCCAAATCGTGTGCCTAAAGAACAAAAAAGATTTTCCGATTCAAAATCGATTCGGATGTGAAAAACAAGAGAGGAGGAGGAGAGAGAGAGAGAAACAACATGGGATACCCCACTGCAATCAATACATGTCTCTCCGAAGATGGAACATAATCGCGTATGGCTGGCTAGAAAGTTTTAAATACTTATGAGGTTAGGGAAAAAATTGCCAAAAGCACAAAATCCAGGTTTCAAATACGGAAATGTTTTCTTCCTCTTTATACATTAATTGCAAATGGATTTTTGTTACTGAAATGCCAAGGTAACATCACAACTATTGCTATCGCGTAATAGGAAACCCGACTAGAAATGTGTACACCTCATTTATATTTAACAAGGGGCATTTGTGAAGGTGGCCATATTGAATTCGAACGTGTTTATAGTCAGTTAAGTCTGCATTTCGCAATACCACAAATGTTTGAATAATTCATGGTCAATAGAAAGGAAGTGTTAAGAGTGCATTTCGTAATACCACAAAGTTTTGAATAAGTAAGATTGATAACAGGTTCCAAACTCGCGTGCCTTAATTGGAAATGATTTTGTGCTACTCTAACGGACATTTTCAATTTCATAAACTGAGCAACGGTGGAAAAGGAATTTGACGTGCCACAAGTTTGGGTAAGATTAAACCACTGCATAACTTGAAAAAATGGGGCGTGTGTAAAAGTGGCCAGATTTATTTGAAGGCATGCTTTGTAAAAAGAAAATTTGGCACCTGGTTTTGAGTTACAAATTGCGTAGCCAAAGTGCAAAACTTCTCAAGTATAATTCAGCTGAGGTAAGACTGCGAAAACGTCTCAACAAAGCAAATTTAAAAAAGGCAAAGTTGTGAAAGGTTTCAAAAGCACAATTTTAAGTGTAAGGTCGGGGCGGGGTGGGGGGGGGGAGCATTACCGCCTTATATGGCCTTTACGGGAATGTGCCGCTGGTCAGGTATGGGTACTGACCTCTCTGTCCTAAACAGGCCTAGGTATATAATTTTGTGCAACTCTCTACTTATTATAAACAAGGTATTGCCAGCACGATTGATTTGATTTGCTTGATGAAATTTGTTTGTACTCCAAGCATAGAAAAGCAATGCCGATAAATGGCCTAAAAACAAGACGGCGTGCAGTTTCTCCTTTGTCCTAAACAAGGTAATAACATTGAGGGTGTTGCCCTACACAGGGTGTGTGTTTTGCGATTTTGTTTTGTCTTAAACAGAGTCAGGGGTCTTTAAACCCTCAGCAGCTCACTTGTCGTCAAATATTGGTCGAGCACCCCCCCCCCGGGTTTAAGGTATATCTTCGGGGCCTTCACAGGCCTAAAACGAACTGTAGCGCTTCCAGCTGGCTATCCGGGAATATAAGTGGATTGTTATTTCGTGTTTTGTTTTTGTTTTCTACGAGTTTGTAATTTGTGAATCGGCTTTTCAGTGAAAGCTGCACGATTTTGTGAGTTCATGGGTTTCGGGTCCAGGTTTCCGTATATTTGAGTTCAGCGGAAAAAGTTACGTTGCAATTTTTAACGAAGCCCCGTTTAAAATAAGAGTGAATTGACCTTGCAGAAAGCCTTTTCATAATCTGGCAAATTCCCTTCGGGTTTTTGCTCTCTGAAATGTTTCTTTTTTCCTTTTTTTCGAGGAATTTTGACAGAACACCTAAAGATATCTTTAGATAAGCCAGCTTTCCTCTTATTACATTAAACTTTGATGTGATAAACTAAATAAGGGCTTCAGGTATGTAGCTACATCTTTTGTTCGTGTAAACAATGTCCTCTATGCACTAGAATCCAAACTGGGACTCACTAGAAGCTTTTCGTGAGAAGGATTGTGTAAGATTCGTTCTTTATCACTGGGACTAATTCCTGCTACCAACAGTAGCCGATAACAGAAAACTTGACAAAAAGCGAACAACTTTTTATGTATGTTATATTTAAATAAAGGGTTAGAATAGGTTTATTTTCAATTGTTTGTAAGGGTACTAAGTAATTATTTATTTTGACGTACTCAAATGGCGTGATATTGTAGTTAGAGTGATTTTACTTGAATCGTGAAACAGATACTAGTAGTTAAGTGTAAAAACAGCGAGAGGTAAACAAAAGGAGACAATGGAATTAGTGCGTGATAGTGCCTATTATTCTACTACCTTAAATCACTCCAACATTTCCATAGAGCCCTCTTAAACTTTGCCCCTCGGACAAATAAACTTGCTGTTATTAAATAATTCCAAAAGTTCCAAAAGTTAAAAGTGATGCAGAAACAAATGCAAATGCAAATCACCTTTTAGTTAGTAGGACAGACTCCTTATGTTTTGGTTGTATCGTGTTTTATTTTGCAATTTTGCAAATAGTAATCAATTTTGTAAAACTTTTTTTTAGGCTTAATTAGTTGCAAATGCTGTAACATTGTATTTTTCCTTTATCTCTTGTACCTTGTTTTTATTTTTCCTCCATGTAAATGTAAGTATTGTCATTAGAAGTGTTGTAACCAAATAAATGTTATTATAAAAAAAAAAAAAAAAAACATTTCCAAAAGGCCAGTTTGTAAGTTTAAAAATGGTTATAATGCTTACATAATTGCACT